TGGGAGGGTAGAGGGACAACGCAGGAGGGGAAGACCCTCTATGAGGTGGATTGATTCAGTGACTGGGGTAATCGGGATGGGTGTGTGGGAGGCAGTGCGATTGGCACAGGACAGAGCACAGTTTAGGGCTGTTTGTACATAGGGTCGTTATGAGTCGTAAGTGACTCAACGGCACATAACAACAACAACAACAACAACAGCATCTATTTATTAAGTAATCTGAAAACACATCTAGCTGGGCAGCGTCAGCATTCTTGGAGCATACTGAGTGGAGAAAGTCTAAATTCAGGGAGCAACTTTCTCGTCTGCATGAAGCCACCTTACCTTTTTGGCATGCTCCGTCTGACTTAGCATCTTCTCCGCATCCTCTAGCCAGGCCTGAAGACTGGCCACTGTGTTGCCGTAGCGGTCCCAGTTGGAAAGGACTTCTTCCAGCATGCTCCTCACACTTCTCACCTCCACGGAGAGGTTCCTCCACTGAGCGGTGGTCTCGTTCATGAATTTCATCACATTCTCTGCTTCTTCCACTGCAACATGTCAACTCATCATTCTTACTGGACATTATAAACCCACCAGACCCTTCTTCTGTGCTCTTATATTCTACTGTGCTTTTAGATAATAAATTCCTGAGATGATAACATTGATGGTTGTCATGGTAGATACCCACTCAGCCGATGCTAGAAATACCAATAGACTGTCCACAGGAGCGTATACTAGCTAAAGATGGAGAGAAATCTAAAATTTCTGATAAACGTGATGCAAACAATGGCACATGTGGATTTGCCTGCATTTAACATGTACTCAAACAGATGGGAACTATAGGACAACCGAAAGCTAGAGTTTGCAATAAGACAAAAATATTTTACAACTTTGGGGTTTACACAAACTTAAGGGGTAATGCAAAGATGAGCATGCTTAGTTGCAAACTGAAAGATTTGCTGTTCAAGTCTACCCTTGACACACTTTAGAATAAAGGACTGAGAATTTGCTTAAAAAAGATAAATCCCAGGGCTCTATTCTACTCTCAGATTACACGAGTCATTCTGAATCAGAATTCACAGGATGGAAAATTCTTTTTCATTCTCTCATTGACTTGATTATGATACTCAAGTTACTTAATTTTTTTTTTACTTTAATCCTAAGAATGGAAAAATAAATTGGAAAACTGCAATTTAGAATTTGATGCTGATTTTTCTTTCTCTTAGCAAAATAGGAGAACACATACACACACACACACACACACACACACACACACACACAGAGAATATCACTATGCAGGTTAGTGAGACATTGGGCAAAATCTCCTGTCCACGCCCATCAACAAATGAATGGAAAGAGAAGCTGTGGTACATTCACACAATGGAATACTACGCTGCATTGAAAAACAAGGAACTCATGCAATATTATTAAAAATGGGTGACCCTGGAGGACATATCTCAGTCACAAAAGAACAAATACTACATAGTGCCTCTGTTATCAAACAGGACTGACATCAGGTTTGGGGGGAGACTGAGAAAGATGGGATGAATTATGCAGACTGCATTCAAACAGATGAGGGAGGAATTTGTTTAAAAGGGATGTGTGATTCGGTATGATTGTCATCACAGGAGTCCAGACGAAGGCTGCATAGTGGAATGGACCTGGGGGGAGGGATTATAAAACAATGAAAGAATTTTTCTTTTACTTTTCAAAGAAAAGAGTATACTGGGGGGAAGGGGTGGGCAGGGAGAAAAGTGCAACAATGAATGAATGGAAATTAAAAAAAAAATCTCCTGTCCACAAGGACAATTAAGAGCACTGAGTTCAACACGTGCAGTCTAAGTAAATGGCTGACATGGTTACACAGGTTTCTGCAGAGGATAAACACTGCTTTATCAGGTAGGAACCTGTACATTCTCAATCTGCCCACATGTTACCTGATAACACATTCTGGCGTGTGTCTTACCTGAACCATCTGCTTTGACGTACATCTCTGCAGTCTGTTTTAGGATCTGATATGTCACTTCATACTGCTCAAAGAATTTGCTGTTTTCTATAAAAGCCTAAACGAAGAGGAGATGGTTGAAAGAGAGCAAACACTCTAGGCTTCTGCAGAAATGTGGACATTGGGGGTCTTCTGTGGTTCATAATTATGTTTGAGAATAGAAGATGATTCTAGTCTGCTTGACTTATTCTTGAGCTTTATAAATATTTTACCAAAATTTCTCAAGCCGCTTCTTCTTAAAAATATCTAATTCATTCCATTGCTACAAATAACCTGAATTTGTTCTGAGTTTATAAAGTGATCTGGTATTTAATTTTCTTCCTGGAGGTAAAAAAGTGACGATAGATTTAGTAAAAAGTCACATCACAAAGGTGGGATGGACCTTCCACGTAGGAAAGGAAATGTGGGGGCGGCCTCTTTGACAGTTTTAATTCTAACCCACCAGCATGTTGAGAAAATATCCCATTTCTTTGCTACCCAAGGTTTTGCTATTGAAGAGGCAGATGTTTTTGGCAGAGAACGTAGGCCTGGCATTTAGAAAGCACTGCATTTGGAAGAACATATTGAATGTCCCACTGTGTTTAGCTGTGGGACTCTCTTGATCTTTGAACATTAGTTCTCAACAATGAGTGTTCTGAGGAATGGTAGTCTATAAATAAATGGTGCCAGGTACAAGGACTTCCCTTAAAATAAAGGGTCAGGAGAACATGCTTCTAAGTGGTAAAATCTAAAATAATCTTAAACTCTGTCCATGTTACCAGTGGTCCCATATTTAGAAAAGTTTTCAAAACTGCAGATAGGGAAAATCCATATTTTCATTATGGGCTCTGGTAAGGAGTTGTACTGCCAACCCAAAGTCATGTGGTTCAAAGCCACCAGCTGCTCCAAGGGAGAAAGACAGGTTATCTCCTGAGCAATTAACTGCCTTAGAAAAGCTGTTGCAGTATCTATCAGCTATTAGTTGATTCTGACTTAATGGCACATCACAATAACAACGTAATTCCATCTACCTATCAATTGCAAATTTAACAGTCACTGGTAGCAATAGTTTGTATAAGACAGAGACTAGGAACCAAAAATGTCAGATAAGTTTTTATTATTATTTACTTCAGGAAATGGGAAATAACTCCTTTATTGCTAACCCTCTGAAGTATAAAATTAATGCAACCACAGTCAAGAATACAGCATCCAAGACTCTTTAGTTTCTTTTAATAATGTAATGGATTCCTCTAATGTGACCAACTGGAAACAGTTGACAAATGTCACTACTACAAAGTCCGAAAGGGGCCTTGCAAAAGCAGCTGGCATCCTACGGGTCACGCGGTGAGGCCAAATGAGAAGACAGTACTCATCTGGAGATGCAAATTCACAGACATCTCTGCTTTTTACTGGTAAGTGTCCGTCGTATGTCAAGACAGCATTGAAAAATATTACATAGACAATACATTATCCATTATATTAGGTTTACAAAACTCATAGGTAAAATAAAAACCCCAAAAACCTCACATGTATATATTAATTATTCAGAGATGAAGTGAAGTGAGAATGCTGTAAATTATCTGGGACGGGAGATTTATTGATTGCTTTAATCACTAATTTTAATAGGACTTGTCTTTGTCTTTTAAATAAAAGAAGACATAAATAATATGGTTCATTCATTATTTAACTTTATCTCCTACTCCATAGTTGGGGAATAAGTAGTTGAAATTTTTAATAATTTAAATGAACAAAGAAGTCATGGTTTGATATTGTTGTTCTTGTTGTTAGGTGCTGTTGAGTTGAGCATGACTCATAGCGACCCTATGAACCAAAGATCTGAACCTTGTTCTATCCTGCACCATCCTCACACTTCCTGACACACAAGAGCCCATCGCAGCAGTCACTGTGTCAATCCACCTGGGTGAGGGTCTTCCTCTCCTTCACTGACCTTTCTCAACATCATGTCCTTCTCCAAGGAATAACCCCTCCTAGAAACACGGCCAAAATTTGTGAGGTGAAGCCTCATAATTCTTGCCTCCAAAGAGCACTCCAGCTGCACCCTCTCCAGGATATAGCTGTTTGTTCTCTTGGTCATTCATGGCATGTTCAGTGCTCTTCTCCACAGCTCAAAAGTATCAATTCTTTTTCTGCCATCCTTATTCACTGTCCAGCTCTTGTATACACAGCAAATAATCAGGAAGACTATGGCCTAAATCAAACACATCTTAATTTTCAAACTGACATCACTGTTGTTGTTAGGTGCCTTCGAGTTGCCTGTGACCCATAGTGACCTTATGTATAGCAGCTCTGAAGCCTGCCTTGTCCTGAGCCAGTCTCACTGATTCTGACACATCTACTCTCACTGTCCCAGTTACTGTAGCAATCCATTTCATCTGGGGTCTTCCTCTTCTGCTCTGTCCCTCCACCCTTCCAAGGATGATGTTCCTCTCCAAAGACCAGTTCCTCCTGGCCACATGTCCAAACTATGTAAGATAGAGCTTAAAAATCCTAGCCTCTAAGGAGAAACTTGGTTTCACCTTCTCCAAGACAGACCTATTTGTTTTATTGGCAGTCCATGATACGTTCAAGACTCTTCTTCAGCACTACTATTCAAAGGCATCAATTCTTCTTCTGTCATCCTTACTCATAATCCAACTCTGTGAGGCACAGCAAGTAATTGTGAAGATCATGGCCTGGATCAGGTGCACCTTGGTCTTTAGACTGACATCATTGCTCTTTAGCACTCTGGAGAGGAACCTGACAGCAGATTTTCCCAATGCAATTCATCTTTTGATTTCCTGACTTTTGGTGCAGAGAGTATTAATTGTGGAGCCTGTAATTGTTAGCAACTTCAATCTCTTCTCCATCTATCATGGTGCTGCCAATTGGCCCAGTGGTGAGAATCTTTGTCTTCCTCAATAATTTGGAAAGGTCCCTAACTGCAGATTTTCCCATTGCAATGTGTCTCCTTATTTCCTGACTGCTGGTACCAAAGGTGTTAATTGTGGATCCAAGCAAGATGAAGCTGTTGACAGTTTCAATCTCCTTTCCATCCATTATGAAGTTGCCTATTGGTCCAGTGGTAAGAATCTTTGATAAAAAGTAGAAAATGACACCTTAGGTTCAAGACACAATGTAAGAATACCAGAGGTCTCTGACTAAGCTTTGAAACCAGTCACCACGTCATTGGTGCGGGCACAGACTTCAAGAGGCTGAAGAAGCCCCTCAGGGAGATGGGTGGGCAGAGCGGCTGCAGTAATGGTCACCGCAGTGTCTGTGAGGACGCCACAGGATCGGGCACCGCAGTGACTGTGTTGATGACACAGGATCAGGCACAGCCGTGGCTGTGAGGATGACACAGGATCGGGAGCAGCTGTGGCTGTGAGGACAACACAGGGTCACACAGGACTTGTTCTGTTGGACATTAACAGCTCCCTGGGAGCCCACTCAACAGCACATGATAACAACAATGGGAAAAGAATTGCTTTGAAAGGTAACAAAAGTGGAAAGGGTGCCATTACTGGATTAAAAAAGACTTAACTACCTTTTCTTTTCTAATGACCAATACAATTTTTCTAATAATTACAAATGAATGAGGAAGAGAAGCTTATGTCCAGTTTCTTTTTCCATTCAAAAGTGTTAAGAATAAAGTAACTCGTGTGTTGTTTTTAAACATTATCAAGCAACTTGCTCTCATAAGGAGCCCGTGAACAGCAGAGGGAAAACTTGCCAGAGCCTTCACATCCTCACAATCACCACCATGTTCAAAGGCACTGTGGCAGACAGTGTGTCAAACCATCCTATTGAGATGGATACATGCTGTTGTTGTTGATAGGTGTTGTCAAGCCAAGTTCGACTCACAGGGACCCTGTGTACAACACATCTCAACCTTGTCCTATCCTGTGCCATCCTCACAATGTCCAATACTCTCAAGCCCATCGTGGTGCTCATTATGCCAAACTTCCTGGTTGAGGGTCTTCCTCTCCTTTGCCATCCCTCCACCTTCCCAAACATGATGTCCTTCTCCAAGGAATAATGTCTCCTAGCAACAAACCCAAGACATGTGACAGGAAGCTTCACCATCCTTGCCTCCAAGAAGCACTCTATCTGTATTTTCTCCAAAACCTATCTGATGATTCTTTTGGCATTTATCGGATATTAGGCACCTTCTCCAACATCACTCAAAGACATAAATTCTTCTGCTATCATCCTTAGTCCCTGCCCACCTTTTAGATGCATAGCAAGTGAATGAAAAGACCATGGCATTAATCAGGTGCACCTTAGTCCTCAAACTGACATCATTGCTCCTCAATAATTTGGGGAGGTCCCTGACTGCAGGCCCCAGTACAATATGTTTCCTGACCTCCTGACTGCTAGTACCAAGTATATTGATTGTGGATCCAAGTGAGATAAAGTATTTAACAGTCTCAGTCGTTTCCCCGTCTATCATGATGCCTATTGTTACAGTGGCAGGAATTTCTGTATTCTTGATATTGAGATGCAATTAATATTAAAGGCTGTATTCTTTGATCTTCTGAAACAAGTGCTTCTGCATAACCAAACCACAGACTATTGATGAGTCTTCCTCTGATCTTGGTACCATATTCTTCTACAAAGAGTCTAGCTTCTCATATTATTTGCTCAGCACACAAATTGGATAGATAGGGAGAGAGGACACAACCCTGACACACACCCTTCTTTCCTTGCTCTGTTCCCATGTTGGTCTACATATAGGTTTTGCATGGGCACAACTAAGTGCTCTGGGATTCCACTCTTCTCAATGTTAGTCCTAACTTGTCATAATTCACAGTCAAATGCCTTTGCATAGTCAATAAAGCATAAATCAACATTCTTCTGGTATTCTTTACTTTCAGCCAGGATCCATCTGACATCAGCAATGATATCCCTGGCGTCACGGCTTCTTCTAAATCCTGCTTGAACTCTAGCAGCTCCCTATCTATATACTTACTGTTCTAGACACTTTTTCTAAAAATTTTTCTACTAGTTTATTTACAAAATTAGAATACAAATTTGAATAAATTCTTTCCATTTCCCCCACCCCCCACCCATCAAATTGTTTGACCCGATGATTAATCCCCCTCCCTCTTTACATCTGCATCCCTCTGCTTCCAGCCTCTCCTACCTTCCTGGATCCTTATACTCCTTCTATTGTATAAAACCATTGTTGTAGACACGTTTGAATGATCTTCAGCAGTATTTGCTTGCATGTGATATTAATGATAATTAGCCCCTAAACAACAAATTTTTGAAGGGAGCTATCTATTTTAATTTTGTTTCATTTAAGTTAGCTTTTAGGGTTTTCTCCTGCATACATATTAAATCCATTCAGTAATAACAATTATTTTGTCTGTATTAGTCATCTTAAACAATTATAGCATTTTATTTTAGAACCACCAAATCCCTATCATTGTGGACTATCTAGATAGAGCCTCTTGGGAAAAGGTACAAGTAACTACAAAAGGCAATCTGTGTTACAATAACAGCATCAATTTCATTTTTTCAAAATGAATTCTGAACTGGTTATCAAGTTCAACAAATAAGCTATGTTAGAAGGGGCTCCAAGTTCAAGATATTTCAAGAAGAATGTTGTTGTTGTTGTCATTTGATGCCATTGAGTTGCCTATGAATCAACCTTATGAACAACAGATCTGTTCCTTGTTCTATCCTGTGTCATCTTTACTATCAAGAAGAATAAGATACATTTTGTATTCCACTAGGGAGCTCTCATGGTTTAGTGGTAAGGAATGGTGCTGTCAACCCAAAGGTAAGTGGTTCAAATACACCAACCGCTTTGAGGGAGAAAGATGGCCAACCTCCTCCCAGGGGGTGTACTGCCTCTGGAAGATCAACTATGTGTCGATTCCAACTAGATGGTACATAACAGAAACAAGCCAAATTCTGGTGGAAGTGAATTTTCTACATGAAATTACAAAGATTACAAAGCTTACCAATTTCATGGTAAGAGAATTCAGCCCAATAACTTAAGAATCTTAGAATAAACTAAGAGAAGTGATTTCCTCAGGATTGTCCAGTAACATTAATAAAATCAGTGATCACAAATAAAAATTAAAATATGCATGTTTTATGAGGCACAAGCAATGATTTCGAAAGTTCTACTTTTACGTGAAAGAATTAATGAAATATCATGCTATTATTTTTTTTCCCCACAGGAAAAGAACTGGAGTAAATGTTATATGAAATGGTCAGGTCAACAATTCTGACGTCAAGACCAAAGCCAATTATCTTTTGATTTAAAGGATGATATCTAGTCTGGGCTTGAACAAGATAGCGATGTTGAAGATGACTCAGGATAGAGCAAGGGTCAGCTGCGTCATTGATAGAGTCACTAGGAGTCATAGTTGAGTGCTGCTGGCTTAGTGAAAAGGAGTTGTGCTACCACCTCAAAGGTAGGTAGTTTGAATCCACCAGATGGATCAGTAGTCTCCTCCCATGTGACTTGCTGTATCTGAAAAGCTGCTCGATGGTCAGCTATGTGTTGCTTCCAACTCAATGGTTCTTAACAACAACATGCAGTCTCTTAACAATGCCAGGTGGCCCAGAGTGTAATGTGCTAACCAAAAGGTCAACGGTTCACATCCACCAGCTCTTCTAAGAGGGAAAGATGGAAAATGGAATTGAGAATTCAGACTAGAAAAAGGATGAAACTTTGTATCCACATATGATGGTGGTTTTTCCTCCAGTAGTAACATATGGCTCATTACAATAAACCTTTTTAGAAGCCAAAGAAAGGGTTGCAGGAAAGAAATGAATTGTGTATTATTAGAGGAAATCTTCACTCTCTTTGGAACATTCTGTTCTAAAGAGAATGGATTTCCCAGAAGCCCCAAAAGGATGGGAGAAGCTCTAGGCAGAACAGAAGGAAAATATTATGTCAGCCTCTGCTCCTTAGAAGAATATGTATTATCCTATGATTATTATTAAAAATGTGGAGAATGACTAAGCCATTCATAAAGGCGATAGTAGAGAGTTGAACTATCAATCAAACACATTTCTATGTGTCTCCATTTTTAGGGGAAGCCATCTCAATATTCTCTTTTCTGGATGCCCCCACCCCTAATACTACCCTATCCCATGAAGGAGTTCTGAAGTTACAGTATCTAAAGTGTAAAATATGGTTACTCATAGTGCAATGGTAAATGAAACTATTCTATATGGGAGTTACATTCCTCAGCTTGCTAAATTATAAAGAAGGTTTACCAATGATTTTGTTTTCTTTCATATTTTTAAAAGTTCTTTTTCTGGTCATAGCTAATTTTGTGATACAGTAAAGTCTGGTATTTAAAGCAAAGGGTTTATGATTTGTAATGACTGATTTTTCAAAGTTAGGTTCTAACTCTGAGCTAATGTGGCCCCCACAGGTAGAACTTGATGTTTGTTCTCTCTCCAGTTTCCACCATGTAGAAAACAATTTGAAAATCGTCCCCTGCCAGGCTGAAAGTAGGGTCAGAGGTAGAAGCACATGACACACTAAATACTCCACACCTAACAGTCATTAAAACTATTAAATGAAAAGTCATTTAAAATGCCTTTGCATTTTAAGGGGGAAGTATGAGCAATAGTGAATAAGAATTGCTCTTAATGAATATTCATAGGCATGCTTCTGCAGGAGATGATCATATTAATAAATGTTCAGTACAACAACTTATGCTTGCGGAGTAATTACAGCAAGTTTCAAACAACTTTGAGAGTTACAAAACAGCTTAAAATTACCAGTTTAGTGAAGTTCATCAACTTCACAGAGTAGGCAGAAAGTACAGATATTTTTTTAATCACTAATAACCAGTCTCTATTTATACAACCTTCCTTTTGAGAAGTTCTAAGAATGTTCTCAGCATCCTTGTGTTAGAATATTTCCTGGGGGAACAGTTTTATGAGGTACTTGAATCTGATTGGCTGTCCTGAAGTAGTTAACACAAAAGTGAAAAGTCCAACAGGATCTACTGAGTTCAGAGTAAATCATGTGACAGAACTAAACCCGAAGCTATTAATGCATATCAGAATGTATTTAGAGAAATAGTGTAATTGCTTAAGACTAAAAAATTTAATTTTTTCAGTACTTTCGAAGAAAAGTGAATAAAAGGGGTTTATCACAATAGATTTATTTTATGAATGCTTGCTAGATAATTTTAGAAATATTGAGAGTTTACTGAAAATCTATTATACCTTATTTTTTTAATGCATGCTGTTCACTCATCATTTATAAACATTGAATGAAAATGCCACAGCATAGAATCCTGAATGCTCCTGTGAGGAGATGGTTTTCAATAGATCTCCAAGTACCACCTGCTACAGAGGCAGGGAAAGTAAGCTCTGTAAAAATGGACTTATATTGGAAAAAGCTTATTTAAAAACCACTTCAAATTTGTGATTGAACATTAATGGAATTGCATTGGACTACTGAGATGCCCCATTGCAGATTAATTTATGAGCAAACATGAATTGCCACAAAAGCTTGTAGTAGGCATGCTTAATTTCCCAAGAGAAAGAAACCACTTTTAACAAATATAATGAGCCAATTATACATATAAGGTGCTGATAACTACAGAACAATCGAATTCTTTTGTTAAGGCAGAGATTTTATTCCAGGTGGGTAGATAGGTACAGAGGGCCCCAAATGTGAGTTCATGTTTACAAATTAAGTTGGTCTAGAGCTTCTCAGACAAAATTTTACTTTCCTTGAGTGCCCAGAAGACTGGGCAACAGTCAGGAAATGGCTTAAAAAAATAGATGATCTAATAAAAAAAAATAAAGTATAACCCCCCATGTAGACAAGTTAGAGTTGTTTTAAACATAGAGATAGATTAACTTCCAGCTTTTTAATTCTATTTTCATGATGAGTTCACAAAGCTGTGCATCTGCAACCTGAAAACTTTTTTAGCAGTAAAAGCCAACCCCATCTCTTCAATACTATGAATGCTGCACATTCATTTTGTGCAGGAGAGATTTTCTAAAAGCCTTAAAATGCTAAACATAAAGATTTTAATTTACATTACTGTTTAAGTGCACATAGTTTCTATTCAGTGCAGCTAAAATACCTGGGTACCTTTATGTTTCAATTTGAGATCTCGCTAGCTCAGCATAAAATACATTGCTAGATGCTGATGCTGCATCCCTGCTCCCTCCGTTTCTCTGTCAAAGCACAAGGCAGACTCACGATGTAATTCTGTAGCAGCATCTCCACAGACTCCCGTCTCCCATACTTGATGATCCAGGACTTGAGCTTCGACTCAGCGAGCACCAGCAGCGAGAGCAGGCGGTACTTTAATTCCAGAAATTCCATCTTCATCAAATGCAGCTCCGAGGTGGAGGAAACAAAATGAAACCTAGAAACAAAACACAGGATGTGGAATTCACGGGATGTAACTAATAGTAACGGAACAATGCTTCTTTAACCTGTTACGCGCAGGCTTTGAAGAGAAGGTCCTTTCATGCCTGTGGACACTGTCTGCAGACCTGATCCCGGCTCTCGCTAGCTCTGTGTTTAAAGGCAAAACAGGATTGATGGAAGCCTGATTTAGTTCTTTACCCTGCCAACACATCTCTCTTCTGTTTCTTTTCTGAGCTGCCTTTGCAATATTACATAATGTTCGTTACAACACTGAATAATACAGCCCATGAAAAAAAGCCTTCTCTGAATTACAGGCTGAGGGGAAATTCAGGTTTACTCTCTGCAATTAGTAATGTATTAGATTGCTGTTATTCCTGACATGTCTAAGGGGAACCTTATGTTTACTTAACACATGCAGGAATCTCTGTAAGGGAAAAATTTTTAAAAAAAAGGAATTCACTGAAACAAAAAGAAACTGAAAAAAAATCTACCAGGCATCTCAACAAGAGACTTCGTTCAAAGCCAGGTATTCTCTTACCTCGCAGCCATGTCCTCTAATTGGTCCGGGGGCACGGGAATCCCATTGACACACCTGGTCCGGTAGATTTCATGAAATGCTCTTTTGTGGGCATCGGTGTTTTGAAGCAGATCCTAAGACAGGTGGTTGTTTAAAAAAAAAAAAATCAATAAAATGAGGAAATATGTTCACAGGAGGCAGAGGAGCATCATTTCCAGGCTGCTCCGATGAGTCGGGGAGCTTGACAGTTTAGTCCTGCTGCTGCGTCCACGTGCCGCCTGGTGCCTGCCTCGGGCATTTACCTGTTACAGGCGCCGGTGCTTACAGAGCCGGTTCTCAGCTGGACCCAGGGATCTCGGCATCTTTGACATTCGTGACACTGCACAGCACTCATTCAGACATTTTAAAGGCACATGGTGCCAAGGGAAATGCAATTGTTGCGCTAAACAATGGTAGTTAGCTCCCCCCTTCTTAATTTGGAGACGAGTTTAAAAGGGATATGTGATTAGGTATTATTGTCATGACAGGAGTCCAGAAGGAAAGCTGCAAAGTGGAGTGGACCTGGGCGGAGGGCTTGTGTAACAATGAATTTTTCTTTTACTTTTCAAAGAGAAGAGTGAACTGGGGGGGAGAGGTGGGCAGGGAGAAAACTGCAGCAATGAATGAATGGAAATCCAAAGTCTCTGTAAATTTTCATTAAAATTAATAACAAGAAAAAAGAAAAAAGGGGGGAAAGCTTAAAAGTATGCATCATTAATGTAGTATTTTGGTGATAAAAGGTAGACATTCAGTTATTATTTTATTTCAAAATGAAAAAAAATCCTACTGCACCCAAGATGATCTCAACCCATGGCGATCCTTTATTGGGTTTTGAGGCTGTGAATTTTAATGGAAGAGGATTGCTTCACCTTTGTGATTGCCACGGGCAACTGGTGGATTTGAACCACTGTATTCTCAGAAGACAGCTTTACACATAAGGACAGGCCTTTAGGAAGTAATGTTTGTTTGCCAAAAAAAGAAAGTCAGCTATATGGCGATTTTCTCTTGTGCAGTTTACAGCTTTTGAAAACCTGCTGGAAGATGAACTGTGAATTGGTTCTGACTTGACGGCAGTAATAGAGAAAAAAGAAAAAATAGAGCAAGAGAGAAAGAGATGATAATAATAGGTTTTGGTTAGGAAATTTCAAACAAAAAAAAAAACAGGAATATCTGTTAAATATCACTGTGGTAAGGTCATGTGTAACATTTATAAATAATGAATGGATTTGCACACTACTGTTCATAGCAGTGTTATTCACCATTGTAAGAACATGGAAACAGCCCAAATGTCCAACCACAAATTAATAGATTGAGAAATTATGATACATTCACACAATGGAATACTACGCAGCATGCAAGAGTAATAACGTTGTAAATTATACCTAACTTGGGAGGGACTGGACAGTATTATGCTGCGTGAACTAACTCAGTCACATAGGATAAATATTGTATAAAAGCATTCTTGTAGAATGAGTAAAAGAATCTAGGAGGGGCGAGAGAGGCTGGAAGCAGAGGGATGTGGATGTTCAGGGGGAAGGGGAAATTAATCATTGGGTTTTACAATTTGATGGGGGTGGTGAGGGAAATGGAAAGAATTTGTTCACATTTGTATTTGAATTTTATAAACTAGTAGAAAAAATAAATAATGGATGGGAATGATGGTATAAAACACAATGTGAACAGAGAATAAATAGTGTGAAATACAGTGCTTACCAACTTTGTAAGCAACCAATATAAAACTAAAATAGATGATAGATAGATAGATAGATAGATAGATAGATAGATAGATAGATAGATAGATAAAATGCTACTTATGCAGACATTGTTAGGTGACTTCCAGTCAACTCCCACTCACAACAAATCCAGATTAAACGTCTGATCCTACACCACTTACAATTTCCACTGGGCTTCATACCACCGTCGTACGGTCCCAATCCATCTCATTGAGGGTCTTCCTCTCCTTCCCTGCCCTCCCACCCCTGGAGTAGATCAAGTGTCTAAAGTCAATATTATCCACAATTTTTATGATTTACACAGCTGATTCCTTTGAGCAGTCAATACACAAAAGTTATCTTTCTAGTATTCTCAGCTTTGAGTCAAGATACATCAGATGTCAATCATGATAATCTTTCCCCACCACTTTTTCTGAATTCAACTTGAACTTCTGGCAGTCTTCTGTCAATTTGTTCTTGCCATCTCTGAGCCATCTTCACCAAGATTTTGCTTCAGTATGACATTAATCATACTGTCTGATAATGTCCACAGTAAGCTGGGTCATTTTCTTTTGGAAATGGGCACAAACATGGCTCGCTTCCAGTCAGTGGGCCAGGTAACTATCTTCCATACTTGTTGGCAGAGCCTGATGAGCACGTCCACGGTTATATCTGTTTCCTGAAACACCTCAGCATTCCATCAGTTTCTAGGGCCATTTTTTTTTTTGCCAATATTTTTAGTACAGCTTGAATTCTTCCTGCACTACCATTGATTCTTGATCAGATGCTACTTTCTAAAACATTTTTTAATTTTTTCCTCAAATTTTTATTATTAATTTTTTAATCTTTTCCCCTTTTTGAAATTATTATTAATGTTAATGAAAATTTACAGAGACTTGGGATTTCCATTCATTCATTGTTGCACTTTTCTCCCTGCTCCCCTCTCCCCCTTAGTACACTCTTCTCTTTGAAAAGTAAAAGAAAAAAATTTTTCATTGTTTTATCGTTCCCTCCCTCCAGGGCCACTCCACTATGCAGCCTTCATTTTGGACTCCTGTCATGACAATAATACCTAATCACGTATCCCTTTTAAACAGTTCTCTTCCTCATATGTTTCAATGCAGTATACATTATTTATCCCCTTTTTCTCAGTCTCCCCCCACAACCCTGATGTCAGTCCTGTTTTACAACAGTGGCACTATGCATGTGAGTCAATTTTATTTGGTACAGTAACTTAGTATACCCCTTCCATTTTCTTTTGATACTTTCTGTATCATTGAATATTTGTTCATAGAACCCTTCAGTTATTGCAGCTCAAAGCTTGAATTTGATAGGTTTTGCTATAATCACATTTTTATTCACTTTTTATCTGTAAGTAATGGGCTGAAACCTCAATAAAATGACTGTCATTGAGTCACTCTCTAATCATAACAAGACTTCATAGGTTTCCAAGGCTATAAATCTTAGCCAGAGCAGGATAACCATTTTTCTCCCACAGAGTGGCTGGTAGCTTTGAACCAATACCTTTTGACTAGCGTGTCTCATAGCGATCCTGGGAACAAAAGACCTGAAGCCTTTCTATAAGTATCATTGTTTCTCAGAGTTCACAGAGTTTCCAGAGGCATGTTGTTTAGGAAAAGAATGCACCTGCTACGCTGCAAGGACTCTTAGGTACTCGCATAAATGATTCACTCATTGCCATCTGGTTGATTGCAATTCATAGTGACCTCATCGAAAATTCCAAAGCTGAAAATCTTCAGGGGAAGAGACTGGCCATCGTTCTCCAGTGTAGCCACGAATGGCTTCAAACCACTCAAGAAGTCTTTACGTTAATGGTGCAACATGCAGTGGCCTGTGCCACCAGATGTCTTCAGGGAACTACATCAGTTGGCCAGTCATTGGCAGAGTTGAGGGGTCTCCTAGCTGACTCATCAGTAGGTTTCTGAAGTTATTAATCACAGGAGAGGAGATTACTCGTCTCTCTCCTAAGTAGCCCCTGGTGGATTTGAACCAGCAGAGTGCATGGCCTTTGGGTTATGACTCATACAGATCCCTATGAACACAGATCTGAACCTTACCTCCTGTCCAGTGCTATCCTTATCCTCACTGACTTATATGAACTTATATGAGTTGTACTCAGTGGCACCTAACAACAACAACCTACAGATAGAAACAATCTTGGAGGTTTAACAGGCCTGAAAGAGACAGAGAAGAATGTGAAACTGAATACACAGGTATGTTGGGTGAAAGGAAAGGTAACACACAGTAAGAGATTGATTAGATATTGCAATAAATGAATCATATTAAACCATGGCAACTAATGTCATAAAACCAAAAGTCTTTGAATGATTGCATGGGAAAATCAATATGATTTATAAATCTTTACTCAAGAAAAGATTAAAATAGATTTAAAAATAATCTTTGCCCATATGGAATGGATGTTAAAGTGCAGAAAATAATGTAATAAATAATCTAAATAGGTAACAAGTAAGATGAGAAAAATGAACAGAGAAAAGTCAAGCAAAGATGGAGGAATAGTGTACTCGCGTTCGTATTTTTGATGAGGAGACTAGGAAAGAGTTGTGTAAAAGATGGGCTTTCAGGAAATAAAGGCACCAAAGACATGAAGAAGAAAGAGGATTAGTGGGATAGTGTCACAGGGTGAAGGAGAAGAGCATTCCAGAAGGATAAAGAGAGCAAAGGTTTTGAGGTAAGAATATACTAATGTCTGACTAACGTCACCTTTCAGTACACTTCATTGATGAATGTATTTAAGATAGCAAAACCACCTCATGCATCCTATACCAGGTCTACCTTCTAAAGAGAATTGATGCCTTTGAGCTGTGGTGCTGAGTAGAGTTGAATATACCATGGACTGCCAAGACAACAAACAGGTTCATCCTAGAGAGAGTGAAGCCAGGCTGCTCCTTAGAGGCAAGGCTTCTGAAGCTTCATCTGACACATTTTGGAAATGTTGTGAGGAGGGACCAGTCCTTGGAGAGGGACATCATGGTTGGAAGGGTGAAGGGACGGAGAAAGAGAGGGAGACCATCCGTGAGATGGATTGATACAGAGACTGGGGTAGTGAAGGTAGATGTGCGAGCGACAGTAAAGTTGACACAGGATAGAGCAGGGTTCAGGGCTGTTGTACATAGGTTGCTAAGAGTCATAAGTGACTCAATAGCACATAACACCATCAACAACAACAACAACATTTTAAAAATTATTTTTATCTGCCTCCTCTCCTTAAAAAGTAGGCTACATGAGGGCAGGGAATTTGCTTATAGGTAGATCACAAATGCCTTGAACACTTGTATGTGCACAGAAAATGTTCTATAAATATTTGTTCAGCCTAATAATGACAGTCAGCTTTTAAGTCACTTCTCACTCATGCTGACCTCATGGGCCATAGAAACTAAACACTCCTTAAACCTGTACCATCTTCAAGATCACGGGCATGCCCAAGTGTATTGTTGGGTCACTGAAACATTCTGTGCCTTCCATGCTGAGACACATCTCCCAGTACCATAGGAGACAATATTTGCTGTTGTGACCCACCAGGATTCTGTGGGTGTATATCCCAAAGGAGACCCCCAGGCCTTTGTTCTTAGTCTCAAACCTCTACTGAACCCTGTCCACCATGGAAGATTCCGGTAGTATTTAAGATGGCAGCATCATAGCTACTATCATCACAGCCTGTCAAAGACGAGGGTTGAAAGACTAGGGAAAATGAAAAAGTCATAGCTGAAGAAGTAAGGAAAAGTTTAGGCATAACTGATTTTGATATAATAAGAACTGAGAATTTGTCATTAGGCTAGAAACATGGAGGACTCTGGTGGACGTGACAGAACCAGCTTGACAGGGCCAACACAGGATTAGATTGAATTCCAGAAAGAATGAGAGAAAAGGATTTTTAAAGGGAAAAGAGAAACTAGATCACTATTTCTTTACAATTTAGCTTAAGGAAGAGGGATAATCGGCAGTGGTTAGAAGGGAATGCAGAGTTTAGGACTCTGTGAAGATCTGAGAAAGACCAGTATATCTGAACAGAGAAAGAAAAAAAATCGAGCAGGATTAGAAATTATAGGAAAGGGAAGAACGACAGGAATAGTCTCTTTCAGAAAGGGGTAGGGAGAGGAGAGACCGGCCTTCGCTCGGAGCAGATGGTTCATCCATAGTAACAAGAGTGAAGACCCAGCAGCCAAGCACAGATGCCTGTAGGTGGGTTGATGTGGTTGTGGGAGCTGGCGGAAATTCTCTTCTGATTGCTTCTATTTTCTCGGAGAAATAGGAAGCAGTGCCATCAGTTAAAAGTGAGGATGGGGGAGGAGGTGTGGAAGGTTTGAGGAGACAAGGAACAAAATAGCTCTCTGGAAATGGAAAGGGAACAGCATTGGGAATGCTGTCTGATTGCCAGACAGCTGAAGCTCTTCCTAGGTTAGTTAGTCACTGGGCCTGGAGGTGTGTTTTCCTCCAGCCACCGTCAGCCGTCTGTGCGTGGGCACGCGCTAAGCAGAGTTGGGCTTTGCTAAGGCTGTGTTTAGAATGAAGATGAGAGGGCAAAGTGACCTATGTACCAGTGAGGAAGGGTGCAAGCAAGTACAAACATATGATGCTCGTTGAATGCAAATAGAGGACCAGGGAATGGAAGGAAGGAAAAGGAAGATGAGAGACAGGATCCCACAGAAGAGCCTGAGATGTCCTGAAGTCAGAGGACCTAAAGAAAATGAGTTAAGGATGGAAGTTAGGCTGGAGAGGGAGGTCCTTGACATGAGAGATGATGGAGGGCTTTCAATTACTGATGACGACAAGTTCTAGGCTATAGCTATGGACACAATAACCAGAGAATAAAGGTCAGAGGGAAGAGGAAGTCAAGGAACTGAGAGGCAGGCATATTGGAAGCACCTATGGGTTACTGAAGCTACTAAGAATCTGTACTTGAAAACAGTGTGTTCAAATTCTGTAAATTAGTATTAAAAAAATAAAAAAAGAATTGTAGCACTGTTATCCAGGAAACCAAATGTAGGAGATACATATTACACACACACACACACGCACACACACACACACATCTCAGTAACTTGGCATAAAATACATATGAACTCTAAGTTGGTCATGTGTCATCATATGTAGGGGTTTTTCTTTTCCACATGTTTAGGACACAGTAAAATTCCACCACCACGACACAACAAGGGGGTACAAATCTTCACTTGTGTGAAATGCATTATGGTGAAGTAAAGGGGGAAAATGTATAGTTTACTTTAGATAATTATATCACAAAATAAAAAAATAGAATTATATTTAAAACATAAACAATTGATCCCGCGTTATGCTAAGAAAGCAAAAAAAAAAAGACCAAGAAACCATAAAACCGACCCCTTCTTGCTCACCCCTCCCCTCCCCACACACGCGCAGACTTCATACCCCAGCGCTCCCTCCATCTCCTGCCTCTACCCACCCCACTGCAGAAGGAGAATTTCAGCCTGTGTTTCTCTAAGGACCAGGGCAGGGACGCAGCTTGCGGCTAATTGCTCATTGTATTTTATCACGTAAATCCATGTTACCTATGGGCTAATCTTTGATAAAAAAAATACCATACAGTAACAGAAGTAGCTAGAATTGCTTCAGAGGTACTGGAAAATAGCAGAGGATACAGACCTACCAGAACTGCTATTTTAAAAAAGAAATCATGAAAGGAAAGAGCTAATTACAGCCCATGTGAGAAGGTGGGAGGTGTCTGGGCCCCACGTTTGGGAGGGTCAGAGCCCCGGGAGTTCGGTGCTGACCCCACCACCAGCCCCCACATCGACGGCTGGGATGCAGAATTTTTACCTTGTGCTGCTCGAGTTTCCTTTGTATGGTGTTTGCTGTTTCCTCATGGACCTGCTGGACGGTGAGCTCCTCTCTCAGGGCCACCTCGGCTCTGTACAGCCAGGCCCCGATGGTGCCCAGGGGCGCAGGCAGAGCCTTATCAAGCTGTATGTGCCAATCAAAGAGCTGCCAATCGAAGCAGAAAGATGTCTTACCTCTAACGTAGCAGGGAGGTTTTATGGATATAGAGGAGGCTTCTTAAAATGCCCACACATTATATGAAAGTCCCAGTGAGACTTTACGTTAGCCATTTTAGACTCACTGATGCTCTGGGGGTGTGAAGAAAATGACATATTCTAAAGAAACTCCATATCCATCTTAAGGAAGACCAATGAACTGCTGCTGCTTTTGAGCTGTGGTTCTGGAGAAGAGTACTGAGTATCCCATGGATGGACAAAAGTCAGAGCAGAGCTGCGTTCTCCAGACTGTCCAAAGGCTGATAGGGAAGTAGATCGTCAGGCCTTTGGTCCAAGGTCCCAACCTCTAACATGCTGATTAGCTACCTAGTGTGTCAACTGTTTACACCACAGGGATTTCATAGCTTTGTTGTTGGGTGCCATGGGCTTGGCTCTGACTCCTAGTGGCGCCGTGTTCAACGGGTGGAAACAGCCCAGTCCTGTGTTGTGAGAACATTATCCATCATGCTCAAGCCCTTTGTGGTAATTTCTGTGTCAGTGCATCCCTTTGAGGGTCTTTCTCCTTCTCATTGACTTTCTACTCTATCTTTTTTTTTCACTTTTTTAAAAAATTATTATATTTTGTGTGTGTACCGTCAAATCGGGTCTGACTGGTACAGGAGGAGACTGGAGATTGCCCCTCCTTCTCCAGCAGAGCATCTGGTGGACTTGAAATTTGTGCCTCTGGGATTGCAGTGCAGCTTCTTGCCACTAGGCCACCAGAGCTCCCTGATTTTCTACTCTATCTTAACAAGCACAGTATCTTTTTTCAGGGACTAAGTTCCCTGAAACTTTGCACAAAGTATGTGAGACAAAGTCTCACCACTCTTGCTTCTAAAGAGCATTCCTTTTTAAAAAATCTTATTTATTTCTTTTAATTAATTTTAATGGAAGTTTACAGAGACTTTCCAGTCATTTATTGTTGCACTTTTCTCCCTGACCCCCTCCCCCCAGTTAACTCGTCTCCTCAAAAAGTAAAATTCTTTCATTGTTATGCAATCCCTCCCCGAAAGCCCACTCCACTGTGAAGCCTTCATTCTGAACTCCTGTCATGACAATACCCAATCATATATCCCTTTTAAACATTTCTTTCATTCATCTGTTTCAATGCTGTATACCTCATTTATCCACTCCTTCTCTGTCTTCTCTCAACCCTGATATCAGTCCCGTTTTACAACAGTGGCCCTATGCAATATATATCCTTTGTGACTGAGATAGTTCACTCAGCATGGTGTCCTCCAGGGTCATCCATTTTGCATAATATTATGAGTTCCTTCTTTTCCAGTGCTGCATAGTATTCCATCGTGTGAATATACCAGAGCGTCTCGATCCATTCATATGTTGATGGGCACTTAGGTTGTTTCCAGGTCTTTGCTATTGGGAACAAAGCCACAATAAACATGACTGTGCATATTTCAGCTTGGGTGGCACTTATGGTTTCTTTAGGGTTAATTCCCAGTAGCGGAATTGTTGGGTCAAATGGTATTTCTATTTGCAACCTTTTGAGAAAGCACCATACAGCCGTCCATAGTGGTTACACCACTTTACACTTCCACCAGCATTCTTGACTGCATATGCTCCAAGACAAATTTGCTCTTCTGGCCATCTGTGGGGTATTCACTGTTCTTTGCCAATACCACGTCAAAAGCATCAATTCCTCTTCCATCTCCCATGCATTCATTGTCCGACTTTCACATACATATGAAGCAAAAGAAAGTGAGTCAGGCACACTGCAGTGTTGAAGCTGACACCTTGCTCTTTAGCACTTTAAAGAGGCAACAGATTCATTCAGTACCACATGTCATTTGATTTTAGATAAACATATCCTTAGGAATTCAAGAAATCTTCTACAAAAAGGAGTTTAGGTAAAAGAAACACTTCCGTTATGATCAGAAGCTACTGTTGTTGTTAGTTGTCCTCAAGTCAAGTTCGACTCAGACACCCTATGAACAATAGATCTGAACATTGTCCTTTCCTGTGTTCACCTCACAATCTCTGACACACTTGAGCCCATGGCATCAGTACACCTGGTTGAAGGTCTTCCTCTCTTTCACTGAACCTCCATCTATCTAAGCATGAGGTCCTTCTCCAAGAAATAGTCTCTCCTAACAACACGCCCTAAGTATGCTAGGCGAAGCTTTACCATCCTTGCCTCCAACGAGACATATGTGTTTGTTCTTTTGGTAGTCCATGGGATATTCAGTACTCTTCTCCAGCACCATAATTCAAAGGCCTAGATTTTCTCCTGTCATTCTTATTCATTGCCCAGCTTTCAGAAGCAAAGCAAGTGATTGAAAAGATCATGATCTGAATCAAGCACCCTTTAGTCCTCACACTAACATCATCGCTTATGATGAGAAGTCCCCCAAGAATGAGATTATCAAGATGAAAAGATAATAAATTCAAGAAAACTATATTAACAAGAGTGGCTTCAGCTACACAGTGGTTCTAGTGTGTCAGAGATGACGAGGATGGCACAGGGTAGGGCAGGATTCAGAATGGCTGTTCATAGGGTCTCCATGAGTTGTACTCAACTTGATGCACTTTGAAGTCTTGTTAGTTATGTGTAAAGAACCTTATTATAAAAGATGTTGTTGTTGTTAGGCCAACAACAATTCATAGTGACACTATAAATAATATAAATATAATATAAACTATAGCTCTGAACCCTGCCCTATCTTGAGCAAATTTCATTGTCTCTGACATGTTACCACAGCCATGTGTCAATCTATCTCTACCAGCGTCTTCCTCCCTGGTGCTGACCCTCCAACTTTCCAAGCATGATGTCCTTTTCCAAACACTGGTCCCTCTTGGCAACATGCCCAAAATATGTGAGATGGAGTTTCACAATCCTTGTCTCCAAGAAGTGTCCTGGTTTCATCCTCTCCAGAACAGGTCTATGTGTTTTCCTGGCAGTCCAGAGATGTTCAATGCTCCTCTCCAGCATCACAACTCAAAGGCATTGATGATTCTGCTGTCATCCTTAGTCCAGCTCTCGGAGGCATAGGAAGTATGTATTGAGAAGACAATGGTTTCTGTCAAGTGCACATTATTCTCTAGACTGACATGGTGTAGCCTTCTGAAGAGGAACCTGATTGTAGATTTACCTAAAGCAATTCTTCTTTTGATTTTCTGACTGCTGGTGCCAAGTGTGTTGATTGTGGACTTGAGCAAAATTAAATTGTTAACAACCTCAATCTCTTCTCCATCTGTCATGCCAACTGGCCCAGAATGAGAAACTGTTTTTTCTTGATGTTGAGAAGCAATTGATATTGAAGACTGCAGTCCTTGACCTGAAGCAAACACTTCAAATCCTCCTCAGTTTCGATGAGCAAGGTTGTGTCATTTGCATAATGCTGATTACCTATAAGTCTTCCTCCAATCCAAATGCCACATTCTTTTTCATATAAATTGGTAAAAATAAGGCCATAAAAAATGGATGGAATAACAAGTGACATATTTTAAAAAACAGACACAGCCATGGACATGTCCAAGTTGTGCCAAGAAATCTGGACAACTATCTGATTAACTGACTGGAAGAGATTCATATTAATTCCCATCACCACCAAAGGTGCTCCAACAGAGTGTGGAAATTACTTAACAATAACACTAATATCACACACAGGCAAAATCTTGCTGAAGATCATCCAAAAATGACTGTAACATCACATCAGCAGAGAACTGCCAGAAATAGAAACTGGATTTAGAAGAAACTATGGCACCGAGAATATCATTGCCAATGTCAGATCTATCTCGGCTGATGGCAGTTAGTTCTAGAAGAATGTCTATTTGTGTTTTATTTACTATGTAAAGGCATTGAACTCTACGATCACAACAAATTGTGGCTAATATTAAGACGACTGTGAATCTCAGAACACTGAATTGTGTTCAAGTGAAACCTATAGAGAAAAGAGCAAGGAAATACTGCATAATTCAAAATCAAGAAAGGAGTATATCAAGGATGTTTCCTATAAAAAAGCTATTGAGAGGTAAAGAACATGAAATTGTCTGTAAATATCAGAAGACTGTTAACCGTTGGGCAGATCAGACATTGTTACAGAATGCAGATGAGTTGATGATGCTTAATTTTGAGAGGCAGTTTATGGATTCTACCTCTTCCAAACAACCCACAGTTAAGTTGCATAAAGTAAGAAGTAAACAGTCGTTGTTACTGTTATGAGCCATAAAGTCACCTGTGACTCATAGCGACCCTATGTACATTAACTCTGAATCTGTCCTAACCTGAGTCAATATTATCATCTCCAACAGACTTAATTCCATTTCTCTGGTCACTGAGCTAATCCATCTCATTGAGCTCTTCCTTTCCTTCCCTGCCCCTCTACTTTTCTAAGCATGATGCATAGTCTCCAAGGACTTGTTCCTCCTGGCCATGTGCCCAAAGCATGTGAGACAGAGCTTCAAAACCCTTGCCTTCAGGGAGCAGCCTAGTTTTGCTCTCAACAGAAGGACAGACTCGTTTGTTCTTCTGGCAGTCCACTGTATGTTCAACACTCTTTTACATCACCACAACTCAAAGGCAATGATTCTTCTTCTGTCATCCTTAGTTATTGTCCAGCTCTCTGATGCATAGCAAGTAATTGCAAAGACCTTAGCTGGATCAGGCACAACTTAGTCTCCAGACTGATATCACTGCTCTTCAATACTCTAGAGAGGCTTTTAATCTAGTTAATATGTGCTAGTACCTTGAGGGCAGGCAAGGTAGGAAACTAAAGCCAAACCCATTGTCATTGAGTGAATCCCAAACCATACACGGTTTAAGCCAATCACTTCTATGAAGTCAGAGGGAAATGTGACAAGAAGGTAAAGGTTTCTTCATCTTTAGCCTGAGACAGTAGAATCTGTGTAGAAAACTACGAGGGGACAGCCTTGACAACGTGGCTTATGCCTTCATGAAACTGTAAAGGTGGCACTTACCCTGGAGGACACTCTATCCCAGGCTTGTTTCACCAACGCCTGGTCAAGTGACAATTTCCCATCACGATGCACTGGCTGGATTAAATGTTCAATCTGTTTCCTCTTTATTTCATACTGGACTCTGAAGTGCTTAAATGACTGCCGTAGGAAAAACAGCAACAACATGGCAATGAGTCAAAGGAAGCAAAAGCAAAGGAAATGACATTTCCTAAATAACAATCCTTTGTGTTTGTACAGCGCTCAATATGTTATTGAGAATAACAGCGAGACAGTCATGATCCTTATAACAAGTATCATTCACAGAGCCCTGCCCACGTGCTAAGCCCAAGTCATGCTTCCCACATGCATAACCCAACAACATCCACACGCATTGTTATTATTATTATCGCTACTAATTCACAGGTGAGTCTACGGACCTCACAGAGGGGGCTCGGCAGCACAAGCATTAGATGCAGGGCTGAGTTCTCTTTTTCAGTTAAAATGTATATACCTGTCCATGTTCTCTAGTAAATGACATTAAACAGAAGTATAAATCTATACCAATGACTAAGATGGTTATTTTACTTCAAAACTCTAGACACTTTAGAAATGGAAATGGAATCTGTCCATTTACAAAATTAAAGAGGCTTAAATTTCTGTCCAAACCTATATGTTTATGTTCAGAGACTTCATTTATATAATAATCATTTGTTGTAATTTTATTATGTTAAATATTAACTACTGTCATTTTTCAGAATATGGTTAAGATACATTTAGAACTTGTACATTCTACTTTAAGCCTAATACCAATTACAAAGAAGCCGTTATTTTAATTTCAAATAAAGCTCTCCATTATTCGCGAAAATAATATGTACTAAAATATAACGCTAACATCAAAATGTGAATTGTACAACTACATAAAAGACCAGAACACTGACGCTATGAAATCTTGTAGGTAGTACATACCGATTAACTTAAAAGTCATGGACTGAGACAAGCATGTAAATTCACACTAAGAACACTGGGGGGAGACAGTGAATAAAAATTCTGCCACAAGCTCTAATTTGCATTTCACGTGAACATAAATGTTTAAAAATACCAACATAGGATTAATCTTATTCTAGAGTTCCACACATGGAAAAACTACGAAATATACTACTGTTTGATAGGTATAAACATACAGAGAATGCTAATTACATAATAGACATGTAATAGAAGAAAATGTTTCTGTGTTTAAATTTTAGATGGACTCTCATGCTATTTTAAGATACTTCTGATCAACCTGGACTTCAAAGACTATTTCTGTTTTGTGCATGTTCTACTGTTTGGGTTTCCTCTATTAAAATAACATCTTTACAAAAGCGAACTTTACAGCCTGTAAATTCTTTTTTGATAATTTATGCAAAAATTAAACTAATGGAGTAAACAAGAATACATATTCTGAGTTGGCATCTCTGTTCTCAGTGTATCAGTTATACTCACCCCAAAAAAAACCCGTACTGCAGGAAAGTTACACTGAGTTTCAGAGTATGTATCGTAACTCAAACGCAATGCTATCCAGCCGGTTTCTACTTGTAATAACTCTCCATTAGTCTCGGAGGCCGAAGTCTTAATGAGAAGAAACTGCTCTTGGTACCCTCTCAGGGGTGTCTTCACACGGCCTTTTGGTTAACCGTGCAACATGCTACAGACTCCATCCAGAGTCTTTGCCAAATGCAGCAACCATGGCATTGAGGTTTTAACCTGTACATCCAGCCACACTTTACAGTTGGTTATATCATTTTATGGTCCTACCCGCAGCGTAGGAGAGTCACGGTCTATTCATATCCTCATATTTGTTGCATACCCTCTTGGTGAACTTTGGTATTGTTCTGATGGATATACCTTCAACAGGTTGGGGATTTTCCCCCTTTAATATTATATGTGAGATTCACATATATTGTGAATAATAACAGCTGCTTTATTCCCTTTTCATATTTTATGGGAAATCCTTATGCAGAAGCACATCTGATGCCATAGCTAGATCTTTATATTTTTTTTATTGTCTGCCATGGTGAATTTCTAACATCACTGTTCTCTTTTTCTGATGAAGTGGGGGGAAGAAATGGGAAAGATCCAGGGGGAAAGAGAATAGTGATGGGCAAGGTCCAATTGGGATTAATTTTATAAATCATAATGCATAAAAGTGATTGCATGAAAACAATGAATAAATACTAATGTGTAATACACTGTATATGAACTTTGTAAGCAAATAAACAAAAAAATTTTAACATAATGTAGAGTAAAAGACACCATATGTTTTCTACTAAAAAGTAGTGGTATTTTAAGTAGTATGAAAATGTCAGTGCTCTATACAATAGATTACAACTTTTTCATGGAAAAATCCCCTTTCTAAGACTTTTATGCAAGTTGTTGTTGTTAAGTGCCATAGAGTCCTAGATGACCCATAGCACTCCTATGAACAAAAGTCTTGAACACAAAACTTTCATCTTTTCTCCAAGTTCATAGAGCTTCCAGAGGCAAGCTAAAGAAAATTCCATTAATGACATTTTTAATGAACCTGGGAGGAAAAAAACAACCACTCTGGCCTCAACTAAATGCAAACGAATCAAACTAGGTAGGGTTCAGCAGAAATTAATCTCATTGTAATGTTCATGTTATAATTCCTTACAAAACCCAATTTATTCAAAAGTAATCTTCATTTTTACTTTTCTGTATTTTTGTTGTAAAACGCTGTGCTTTGTGACAGCCACAGGATTATGAGTTCTACAAAAATAGTGACAGAGGTTTTTGCTCTGGATTACCTACAAGACTGGTTTCTGATAGCAATGCTATCTTAAAGATTCATGTACAATGTTGTTGTTACGTGCTGTCGAGTTGTAGACGACTCATAGTGACCCTATGAACAAAAGACCTGAGCACTGTTCATAGAGTTTCTGGAGGCAAGTTGCTTCGGAAGTGGAAGCCACTCCTAAACTTGTTTTAATCGGGGAGCTCCACCAAACACTGTCCACCAGGGGTAACCATTATCACATTTGACACATCAGTGTCACAGTGTTTAGCATCACAGCAACCACGAGTTAACTCTGTACAGAAAAGAATTCATGTACAACAGGGGCACAAAATTTAAAACTACATTTTCAGATGAAAATTCAGTTACTAAATTATATACTAACATCATTCCTTTAAAGGTTTTACTTATTAATATAATCTAAAAGACTGGAGATATAATAAAATGCAGATATGGAACTTAATCAGTGGAAAGCTTTTGAAACACTGGCATCTCTTTTTCACACCTTACCTGATATTTATCCTGCAAATTTGATTCTGTCATTTGTGCCCTCGTCAAATCTCTTTCAAATTGTTCTATCCAAACCTTCATCTCCTTCAAAATTAACCTGTCTTCTCTCTGAAAGTCAACAGTTATTACACTTTTATTAGTAACCATGTGTTCGTTTAATGGCTGTTCAATACCCAACTGATTCGATAATAGCCTTGATTAGTAAGTCCTAGACCTCTCTGGGAAAAAAAAATTCATTCCAGAGACTAGGCAGCAGAAGGCAGTTCTAATAAAATTTCTTAATTACCTTGCTCCACACTGGGATTCTTTATACCACTTTTTTTCTTTCTCTCCCTCTCAAGGAGCACTATCTTAATATGGAAAAATGTGCTCTAGGGAGATGCTCTGAGCATAAAAATACTTAGAAAGGATACTAGCTAGGATGGAGGTAGGAAAATGGGCCTAACGCATGGTTCCTAATCCAAGGCCATTCAGAGCCTCAGGGATACTCCGCATATTGTTGTTATGTGTTGTCAAGTCACTTGTGACTCATAGCGACCTGACACACAACAGCTCTGAAACCTGCTCTGTCCTGTGCCAACCTTATTGTCTCTGACACACCTACCTCCATTACCCCAGTCACTGAATCAGTCCATCTTATCGAGGGTCTTCCTCTCTTGTGCTGTCCTTCCACCCTCCCAAGCATGATGTCCCTCTAGAATTTGGGGATTACAGTCACCATAAAAATAGACTAATTGTGCACCTTCCCACTCAAAAATGATATTTAGGATTATAACATAATCTCCAGGTAGCAGAAAACATATTTATGTTGTCTAATACTGTACTCTAAATGCTTACACTCTGGAAATATAACATATAGAAGAGATTTATCAAATTATCTGTCTAATGAACATAGACAAGCCTTCACTCACATCCCAAAAATGGAAAAAAACCCAACAACCCACAATTGAACCCATTAAACTTATATATCTATTTCCATAAGTAACATCACCAGCTATTCAATTTAAATAAAATTGTCTGGTATTTCCCCCCAAGATTCTTTATCTCCTAAAAATGTCAAAGTCATCTTAAACATGTCTCTGAGCATGATTTGGGGCACTTAAAAATAATATTCAACTATAGTATCATGCTTGATGCTCCCAGCCCACATGTTAGACGGATAAAATTAGTGTCTCCACCTACAGGCAAAGTGTGGTACCAAAGAATCACTGTCTATAAAATCAGGCAAAGTTGTTCCAAGCTATGGTTCAGTCAAGTAGGACCTTGGCATATTATTTTTTATCCTCTCTGTTGTTATAGCAACGCTGAGGCATACATCCTTTTCATAGTTTGGATGAGAACTAGAGATGCTCTATGTAAATGAGAATTAGAGACAATTTATGTTGAGATGGATTATATCTCAACAACAACAACAAAATCTTCATCACTGGACCAATAGGCAACATTATGATAGATGGAGAAGACTGAGGGTGTCAGCAATTTTACTTTAGTTGGATCCTCAAAGAGCACTCATGGTAACAGAAGTCAAGGAATCAAAAGATGTGTTGCATTGGGAAAATCTGCTGTCATGAACCCCTCCAAAGTGCTAAAAAGCAAAGATGTCAGTTTAAAGACTAAGGTGTGCCTGACCCAAGCCATAGTCTTCTCAATCACACTTTACGCATATGACAATTGGACAATGAATAAAGATGTCAGAAGAAATTGATGTCTTCAAGTTGTGGTGGTGTGTCTTTGTGCATTGCAGAGTCCTGAATACCCATGGATGACCTGAAGAACACATAGCTCTATTTTGGAGGAATTGCAATAAGGCTGGTAACATAATTAGTGAAAGAAAGAAATAAATGGAACAGGAGCTTCAGTTCTTTCCATAAATGGAAATCTTTCCAATCAAGATACACACTTGATTGTGAGTTGATTTTCATACTCAGAATCTTATTAGTCACCATTCTATGGAGCTCCATTGAACAAAGACAAACTTTTCTTGGTCTTTTCTTGTCTTTTACTGAGCTGAGGTCAATCTGACCACTGATGGGGATCTCACAGGTCTACTTCACCGTAGACCTCCGAGGACAAGCTCCTCATCACCTCTGCCATCACCAGTGCTTCTTGTGTTTAGGAAGCACTTGACAGTCTCCTTACATGAAGCTCTTTAGTCACCAAGTGAAACAGTCACGTAGTCACACAAGAGGAAGGGATCTTGTTCTTGACCGAGTTTAATCATTGTTGTTGCTGTTAGGTGATGACCAAAACTCTACCCTGTCCTGTGCCGTATCCTGGGCTCTGCTGTACTTGAGCTCAGTCTACTCATTAGATGCTGTCTCGTCAGCTCTGACTAATAATGACCTGCATACAACCCATCCTCCGCTACAATCCACTTAGTAAATTACTCTTCTAGTGATAGGAAAGTGTCAAGCAAACTGAAAATTTAAAAAAAAAAAAAGTAAAATGGATGGAGTTATTGATACACTCAGCCTTATGTTCTGTAAATGGGAAATGAAACACAAGAGAAGATTTAGAGTGTCAGAATGCATTAGTGCAATGTCTTGGGTTTTTAAATTGGTAACCTTCATATTCATGAAAAATATGTGAGGGTCTCCTTGCCTAAGTTATCTAAATTCTAACTGGCTAATCTGTCAACATTCATTTTCTCTCTGTCTTTCTTCTCTTCATACACACACACACACACACACACACACACACACACACACACACGACTTAATATACATAAGCCTGGGAACACTACTGGCCTAGTGGCAAGAAGCTATGCTGCAATACCAAAGGCACGTGGTTAGAATCGCACCAGCTACTCCACGGGAGAAGGATGGGCAATCTCCTTTCAAGCAATTAACCACCTCTGAAAACCCACCAGAAATCAGTTATGTGTTGATTCTGACTCGACAGTACACAACAACAACATATCCTAGGTAGTAGTAACTGATATAGACCACAAAATAAAATTAATTTAACATTTGATGTGGTGTGTTGTCATGTACCATTGAGTCAGAGGTGACCCATAACTGACCCTCCAGTGGGTTTTCAGAGGCAGTTAATTGCACAGGAGAGATTATCCATCCTTATTCTTGAAGCGGCTTGAGGATTTGAACTGTGTGCCTTTGGGATTACAGTGCAGCTTCTTGCCACTAGGTCACCAGAGCTCCCTAACATTTGATATAAAATTCCCAATTCTCTATTCTAAAGTTTCCATAAAAGCTGGTGTGTTGACAAATCAATCTCAGGCCAAATTGAAATGATAATATGGAAAAGTTAAAGTCTAAGACTCACACTCAGTAATCTGGATAAAGGAAAAATTCATAATCATTCATTCCACAAATACTTTTTTTTGAAGACCTATAATGTATCATGAAGCAGACTGTGTAAACTGAAACTGTGAGGCATTTTACTAACAAGCCAAATGAATACTTACCTTTTAAAAATTATTTGTTGCTTATTATTCAAATATATAAAAACAAGTATTTTAACATCATTTTTATTTTCTATGTTACATTTAAAGAAATAAAACACTGCTATTATAATTATCTTATTAGTGCTATTAAGGCTGTTAAAATGAAATTAATAGATATCATTTTGCAGCTAAGATTAGTAGACGTCTGTAAGGGTGGCTTCGAGAACAAATGCTATATGAGAGTACACAGATGTTAATTATTTGTTCTATTAGAAAGGACCAAAAAGTAGTGAAATTAAATTGTTAAAAAGAAATGTATATGTAAAAGAAAACACATGCAAAAGAGTGTCTGAAAAACTACAGAGTGCAGGGTATTTGAGAAAAGTGACACAGCAACTTCAAGATTCTTTAAATCTTACCTTAAGATTTTGGATAAAATTTGCAAAAGATCGGAAACCTGGAAGTATTTCCTAACAATATGAGAAGATAACATATAGAAAAAGAATATAAATCAGGAACAAAAAATATATTAGAGACAAGAAGAAAATCAATAGAAGGGTATCTATTTATAAAATAGTGGCACTAGTTCTTGGAAGAAAATAATTAAGTGAAGAGATTTTCATAATTCTTGAAAACAACAAAGTGTTGAACTCTAGAAAGGGAACGTGTTTATCTTGCAAATGACAAGCATTGCATTTAATTTGTGATAGTCATATGTGTCAAGAAACATTCTTATAATCATATCTAGAAATAAGGAAAATATTTTAGAACTGTCTAAATAAAGAGATAGATGGGTTCATATTGTCTATAAATACACTCAACATGCACATCTCTGTGTTCTTAGTAACAATTAAGACTGTGTCATCTCTTAAAGTAGACACTAATATTTGTTAAAACTAGAAATGGTAAAGGAAGTTTTAATATAAATTGAAAAAGTCAGCTGTGAGGGACCTCTCAAGAGTACTGAAGGGCAACAATGTCAGGCTGGAGACTAAGGTGTGCCTGATCCAGGCTGTAGTCTTTGCAATTATGTGCTATGCTTCAGAGAGCTGGACAGTGACTAGGGATGATAGAAAGAGAATTGATGCCTTTGAGTTGTGGTGCTGGAGAAGAGTGTTGAATATACCATGGACTGCTAGGAGAACAAACAGGTTTGTCCTGGAGAGGGTGAAGCCAGAGTGTTCCCTGGAGTCAAGGATTCTGAAGCTTTGTCTGACATACTTTGGGCATGTTGCAAGGAGGTACTGGTCCGTGGAGAAGGACATCCTGTTTGGCAGAGTGGAGGGACGGCACAGGAGAGGAGGACCCTCGATGACACAGATTGATTCTGTGAGTGGAGTGGTGGGAATGAATGTGTTTGAGGCAATGAGGTTGGCACAGGATAGAACAGAGTTTAGGGCTCTTGTACATAGGGTCGCTATGAGTCACAAATGACTTGATGGTACATAACAACAACAACAACCTGAATTTAATTTCTATATAATTAATTTATTAATTAAGACCCATAAGGCCACTGAGTTGGAATTGAGTCTGTGATAAATAGTTTATATTTTTGGAGGCCTGGTTTTTGGCTGTGTATTTTTTCCCCCTTTAGTTACTGAAGTCTCCTTAGTAAAGTACATAATCAAATTTATACCAGCAGTGAGTGTTGCAAATCTGTGAACTAAATTTCTGCTCACAAACATTAACTAAAGTAGTATCATAATTTTAAAAAAAAGGTATCTCCCTTTGACTTTGCACTTTTCCAGTCAGAAAGAAAGTATATTCATTTGAAGAAATGATTAATGTCAGAGACATCAGAACATTACAACTTCAGAAATCAGATCAGAAAGAAATCTGATTTGGCAATAGAAAGTCCTTATAATGAAAGTTTAAAACCTGATACTCTCTGTGTTGATTGGGCAATTCATTTATCCTAATAGACTTTCTGAATTCACACACCACCACCCAAGTTAAAGCCCAGAAAAAGTCATATGATCTCAAAGAACATGCATCAGTTGATGTTAACGTTTGCCTGTATATCCTTTGTGTTATGTTTCTTAGTGCTACTTGGAAAACTATCTACTCTGCTAGCTATAGAGAAGGGAGTTCTGGTGGCCTAGTGGTAAGAAGCTGAACTATAATCTTGAAGGCAAGCAGTTTGAATCCACCAGCTACTCTGTGGGAGAAGGATGGGCAATTTCCTCTCACGTGATAAACTGCCTCTGAAAACACACCAGATTGTCAGCTATGGGTTGGCTCCAAGAAGACAGCACATAACAACAACAACAACTACACACAAGCTGTTTGAGAGACCAACATTATTGAGTAATCCTGGCAAGGAACAAAACTAGTTTTCTGGAAGTTATTATTTTTAAGGAAATGAACATTTCAATCATAAGTCAGATTGGTGTTATCGAAAAGTCCTAGTAAATACTACCTGCCTTTGTTCTCATTTATTACATTAATTTGTTCATTTCTAATTACTAAATCTTTTTCTTATTAAAAAAATTCTGGTTCCTTTCTCCTTTGCCTTTCTTGGATATATTTCTAAGTCGAGATGGACCAGTTTTTGGAGAAGGACATGATGCTTGGAAGGATCGAAGGAGAGGAAGACCCCAGAGAAGGTGGATTGGCACAATACCTGGGGTGATGAGGGCAGGTGTGTCAGTGATAGTGAGACCGGCTCAGGACAGAGCAGGGTTCAGAACTATCGTGCAAAGGGTCGCTATGAGTCATCATAGACTCGACAGCACATAACAACAACATTTGAAAAATACATTTTAATTTTGGGGAGCACTTTGCCTTCAGTTCTTCATAGTCATTTCAAACCACTATGGAAACTGAAGTAGAGACTTAAGTAATGAAAGATAAAATCATCTTGGAAATTCTATTTATTATTTTCTCTGGTACCATTTTCTTACATTTAATTCAATATGTAACATGAATTCATCACTCTATGATAACAACGTCATGTGACATAACTTTAGAATGTTGAAAAGAATGGTAACATCCATTGCTTTTAAGGACTAGGAAATGGGCTTTTTGGTATACCAGCTCATGTGTAAAATGGAACAAATCTCTTCAGGGGATTTTGAAAACCATTTTAGAAAGCTTGACAACATTATAGTTCTTAGCCTGGAGCTTGTACTTCCAGGAAATAACCTTAAAATAGTACTTTATAACAAGATTGCTCCTAAAATCATTATCTATAATAGCAAAAAAATCAGGAATTTTTAACAATATGGGCAGGGTAAATACAATGATCTTACAAAAATGACCTAAAATGTTCCTTATAAAGTTAACAGTAAAAGGATAAAACTGTATGTATGTTATAATTGTACTTTTCAAAACTATAATACATAACTGTATATGTGGAAAAGCCTTGGGCACTAATGTTGCTGCTAGGTGCCTTCAAGTCCACCGTGACTCACAGCGACCCTGTGAACAACAGATCTGAACCTTGCCCTGTCCTGTGCCGTCCTCATATTCTCTGTCATGTTCAAGTCCACTGTGATAGTCACTGTATCAATTCATCTCGCCAAAGGCCTTCTCTTTTGCTCTCTACCTTTCCCTAAGAACTAATGTTGTCATGTACCGTTGAGTCAGAAGAGACTCACAGCCGACCCTTCAGCGTGTTTTCAGAGGCAGTGAACCACACTGGAGGTGACTACCTATCTTTATCCAGCAGAGTGGCTGATGGGTTCGAGCCATGTGCCATTGGGTTAGCAACACAACTCTTTATCTCAAAGCCACCAACGCACCCCGGGAAGCAATAGAGAGAGTAGTAAAATGTTCTATGTGTGGGCAGCTCTCTCCTTAAGATTGGATTCTCTTCAGAAGATTAAGCATCGGTCATTTTCTTTTCCTTTTTTTCCTCCTTATTTTTGACATTGAACAATAGGAAAAAGGTAAGTTATTTAAACTTTTGAAAAACTAAAAACATATAATCTCAATGGGTAATTAGAACTTGTGCAAATTGTGTCTGACTTGTATAGTTTTATAAACAATAAAATACAATAAAATATAAAAGTCAATAATAAATTTCATCAGGACAATGAGAATTGAAATCTAGATGTGTAAATGTGATGAATATAAAATTAACGCCCACCTCCAAATGAGTATTTTCCCTTAATTTTAATTTAACTACATTATTTAGTGTTTTTTTTTTAAATCCTTAAAAATTCTTTGTCATCAAGTTGAAACTGATGCACAATGGACCCTCCAGTGAGTTTTCTGAGGCTGTAAGTTGTACAGGAGCAAACTGCCCATCCTTCTTTCACCTGAAGAGCTGCTGGTGGGTTAGAACTGGCTACCTTTAGGTAAGCAGTGCAACTCTCTGCGGACTATGCCACTAGAGCTCTATTTCTTATTCTTTGACATCCAACACACAATGCAGAGAAGTCTTTCCTTCTCATTTTCTCTTCATTTGATGGTATATATTCTTTTACCCAACGACTCTGCTTCTGACATGCATTCTGATTCGATTTTTGGAAATCAATATGCTCATAAACCTGAGAATACAACCAACGTAATCAATGCCTGAAGCAAAACAAACACATACCTCATTCTCTTGCCCATCAGTGCCCAGGCTGTGGATATCAGGATATTGTTTCAGAAACTGGGCTACATATGTCATAATGGACTTCTCATCTGGTTTATCCACATCAACATCTGAAAGTAATCAAAGCCAGAGAGTAACACATTCATGGTCATTTGTTGGATTTTGATAATATAAACTATGAAATTTCCTGTTGTTATTAGGTGCCTGTGACGTCTCCAATTCCTAGGGACCCTGTGTAAGCAGATAGGAACCTTGCTCGATCCCAAGCCAGCCACACAGTCCCCGCTGTGCTCACCCACGCTCATTGTTCAATCACGGTGTAGATGCACGTAGTAGTGGGGCTTCCTCTTTGTCTCTGGCATCTGTCTTTCCAAGCGTGGTGTCCTCTTCCTTTGTACCATCCTCTGAAGTTGCAAGGACTGGGCAAGGACCTTCCAGCGTTACATCCACTGTTGTTGTTGTTGTTATGTGCTGTCAAGTTGCCTGTGACTCATAGCAAACCTATACACAACAGACCTAAAGCCTGCTCTATCCTGTGCCAGTCTCACTGTCTCTGATACCCCCACTCCCACTACTCCAGTCACTGAATCAATCCATTTCATAGAGGGTCTTCCTTTCCTGCGCTGTCCTTCCACCCTCCCAAGCATGATGTTCGTCTCCAAGGACTGGTCCCTCCTTGCAACATGTCCAAAGTATCAGACAAAGCCCCAGAATCCTTGCCTCCAAGGAGCAGCCTGGTTTAACCCTCTCTAGGTTGAATCTGTTAGTTTTCTTAGCAGTCCATGGTACGTTCAATACTCTTCTCCAGCACCACAGCTCAAATGCATCAATTCTCCTTCTATCCTCCCTAAGTCATTGTCCAGCTCTCCGATGCATAGCAAGTGAATGCAAAGACCTGTATCAGGTGCACTTTAGTCTCCAGAGTGACATCATTGCTCTTCAGTACTCAGGAGAGGTCCCTAATAGCAGACTTTCCCATCTCGATATGTCTTTTAATTTCCTGGCTGCTGGTGACAAGAGGAAGACAAGATATTCTGTGGCTTGCTTTATTGCACATTTGCTTAATATTTTGGCCTGGAATTGAGTCTGCAGTCTCTCCAAGGTATGTGTGGATGCTTTTTTCACGTGTATACATATGTAAAAACAAGTCAAAACGACCCTCAGTGATCTTAATGATTGTTGGAGCACAGAGCAATTTCCTAAAATGGTAAGAGGCTTCCACGCTGCCTCTCTTTCAAAGAAGCCTTTCCAAAGCCCTGCCAGTCTCCATAATTTACCATTGAAACCCGAGGTCTCCTCTGTGTTTCAGAAAGAAACTCATTCATTGCCATTGGGTCGGAACCAACTCATCACCGACCCTCCAGTGGATTTTCTGAGACTGTGAACGGCATGGGAGGAGACAGTGGTGGATTTCAGCCAGCAGCACAATTCCCCACAGACGAAGCCACCAGGGCTCCTTATGTTTTAGACCTCGGGGTGTCTAATCGGGACACTGACCTTCTAGTTAATATGCTTTTGTTGCATTTGTGTTAGCATGCTCATCAGTGAACATTTCTGTAACTGTCAGTCCAAATGGAAAATTATTTGTGGCATTTGGAAAATTCACTTTGACGCTACTGTTTCAAAATAATCAACAACTTATTAAGTTAATGGAAGTCTTCAAAATGACTTTTGAAGGCTCAAAAACTCCATTTCCAGAGAGGCTTAATATTCACACCCTTAGCAAAACAAACCCCAAAAAGATACTCACCAATGGAAATGAAAAGAACTGCTCAATTTTGTATGTCCTTTGACACCAAAGCACTGGATACATCCCAACAGTTCTAAGTCTTTAAAAACTGGCATCAGGTACTTTGTTAAGTGACTGACAGATTATAAATTCTTAAGTTATCATTGGAACTGACTTATAACCGACCCTTCAGTGAGTTTCTAGAGGCGGTTAATCATGTGGGAGGGGATTGGCCATCTTTCTCCCAACGAGCAACTGGTGGATTTGAATCACTTGCCTTTGGGTCCACAGTGCAACTCCTTACAACTAACTATATTTTATTTCTTCTAGATTCTTCACAGTTTTGAGAATAAAGCAAATTATTTTATCATCTGATGCCTCCCCACTACCACACATATATCTCTAAGAACTCCATTCCCTACAAAATACACAAAAAGAGTACAGTTCACCTGACTGGAATCACCAGTGCCAAAATGCTGTTTGGAGCAATAAAGATATCACGTGTCCAAATGTTGTTGTTGTTGTTATGTGCCGTTGAGTCACTTGCGACTCATAGCGACCCTATGTACAACAGCCCTAAACTCTGCTCTGTCCTGTGCCAATCGCACTGTCTCCGACACTCCCATCCCGATTATCCCAGTCACTGAATCAATCCACCTCATAGAGGGCCTTCCCCTCCTGCGCTGTCCCTCCACCCTCCCAATCATGATGTCCTTCTCCAAGGACTGGTCTCTCCTCACAACATGTCCAAAGTATGTTAGACGGAGCCTCAGAATCCTTGCCCCCAAGGAGCCACCCAGTTTAACCCTTTCCAGGACGAATCTGTTTGTTTTCATTCTTCATAAAAGAATGTGTCCAAATACCTCAGCAAAATGTTATTGAGAAGAATAGCAGTGTAGGGAGCACTGGTGGCCTAGTGGTAAGAGAAGCTGTGTTGTAATCCCCAAGGCATGGAGTTCAGATCTACCAGCTGCTCTGTGGGAGAAGGAAGGGCAGTATCCTCCTGTGCAATTAATTGTCTCTGAAAACCCGTCTGAGGATCAGCCGTAGCTCGATTCTGAGCCGATAGGACTCAGCAACAACCGCACTGGAGACTTGGAAGTTAAAATTTCTGGGTTTAGGACAGCCCAAACTACTGTGCTGGGGGGTCCCGGAGACAACAACTCTCAACACACCTTCAGGATCGAGCAGCCTTGGGATTCCCAGTTCCGTCTCCGCGATAGCGAAGGCCTCCTCCAGGTTTTCCCTGCTCGGTCTTCCTTTCACCTTCTCCAAGTCCACAAGTTCCGGGCGAATGGCATGGATAACCGAGTGGAAGGCCACTCCGCTTCTCCAGCTCCGTCCAAAGTCTTTCACTTCGATCCCAGACTGCCTTCACATGACAGAAGAAGAAGACACTGTCACATTAGAGCTAAGAAGGGTTTTCTGAAGGCCTCGTACAAAATTCATTCACTTCTTCAACAAGAAGTGACCTGAAGTTAGCCACATCATGAACTAAATTTTATTAAATAATAAATAAAACAATGCTTATGTGATTAACAAGGCACTGTGGGAATTCACGTGGCACAACTAGTATTTTACCATTGTAGGCTTTACCATAATTTGGATGTTCACTTTATAAGATATTTTTACTTTTATTTTTTTAATTTTTTAAAATTAATTTTAATGAAAGTTTACAGAAACTTAGGGTTTCCATTCATTCATTGTTGCACTTTTCTCCCGGCCCACCCCTCCCTCTCAAATCACTCTTCTCATTGAAAAGTAAAAGAAAAATTCTTTCATTGTTAAACAATCTCTCCCCTCTATTTTTACTTCACTTTTAAAGACAATCTAGGTTTTTTAAAAAAATTTCAAGTAAAATTAAAAAAAAGGAAAATTACCAGGTTTTAACAGTGATAATAATTATTATACAATTTGAGAAACATGACTAATAAGTTTTTCATAGACAGTGGCACTGTGTTGTACATACTCAGCTCATAACAGACTGAAATGTGGTTGTTGTTGCTGTTGTTGTTGTTGTTACTTGCTGTCTAGTGGATTGTGATTCATGCTGGCCCCACATGTGCTTAGGAGAATCACGTCATAGTGTTGGAGGTGGTTTTAAGTAAGTTCTTAGCCAAATTTTGGGCTAGTTATCAAGGGCCTAATGGTTTATGTAAGTGAATCTGTCAAATACATTAGATGTACAAATGCAAATTAGTGCGATCCTATCTCTACATCATCACCAAGGAGCCTACCATTCATAAAAATCCAGACAGCAACTGTTGCTATCTCATGTAGCTATCAAACTGGCTTTCAAATTATTCTTTTAGAAGAACTTTCAGGACAGTGCCCTGGGGGAATACCTGGGGTTTGGTGTACTTGTGTATGTGATCAACAGTTAGGAATCAAAAGAAAAGTTGCATTTGAAAAATCTGCTGTCAAGGACCTCTCTAGAAGGCTAAACGGTAATGATGTCAGTGATAAGACACGGGGACACTAAAGTGTTAAATGTGACAATGGTTACCCATGGTGGACATAGTGTTTGGTGGAGCTTCCTGGTTTAAACAAGCTTGGGAGCAGGAGTGGCATCCACTTCCAAAATAGCTTGCCTCTGGAAACTCTATGAACTTGGAGAAACGAAGAAAGTTATACAAGTGTTCAGGTCTTTTATTTATAGGGTTGCTATGAGTCGTCTACAACTCAATGGCACTTAACAACAACAACAACAAACTGCCTTATCCAGGCCATAATCTTTTCAATTGCTTGTTATGCATCCGAAATCTGGACTGTGAATAAAGATAACAGAAGAAGAATGAATGCCTTCGAGTTGTGGTGATAGAGAAGAGTACTGAACATGCCATAGACTGTCAAGAGAACAAACAGGTCTGCCCTGGAGAAGGGGAAGCTGGGTTGTTACTTGGAAGTGAGGAGTTTTAAACTGCATCCCACATACTTTGGCTTGTAGCAGGAGGGACCTGTCCTTGGAGAAGAATATCATGCTTGAAAAGGTAGAAGGTCACTGTAAGAGAGGAAGACCCTGGATGAGACAGATTGACACAGTGACTGTTGCAAGGGGTGAGGTGTGTGTCAGAGATGGTGAGGTTGGCAGCTGTTGTTCATAGGGTTACTACGAGTCATTGCTGTCTCAATGGCACATAATAGCAACAATGGACACTGGAGGAATCAATGGACAAACCAATATTTAATATTTTTTCCAACTCAATTTCAACAACAGCATCTTGCCAAAGATTAGGCTACATGATCACTCATCCCTGCTTCCAAGCTCTTCTTCTCACGCCTTATTATCTATAGTAAAGATTAGTGGAACCCTCTTATAGATGGTACGTAAACAATGTACCGACCGTGAGGGAAGGACTTTTTATTAGATTTTACTATAGATTCTAAACCATAACAAAGCATTGCTTTCAAAATTACTCTTGGTTGTACTTTGAAGCACAAGAAATGTACCCCAAACTAGAAAACCACCAGAACCCTTTAAAATCACTATGCACTATACCTTTAATATGCACTTGAGTTCATATTAGTAACTCTAGTAGCATTTTCCTATGTTTATATTTCCCTCTCCTTATTTTAAAAATTCTGATGCTTTAAAAATACAATTCTTTCTTTTTGAAGCCTCAGTATTTTCTAATGATAAGTACATGTTTATTACTGTTTTTTAGGAGTGAATTCTCAGATACAGATTATAGGCAGGCAAAACAAGATACATAGGAAGTGAATCAATTTTATGTGTCCTTCCAAACACAAACTCAGTTTCCGCTTCCTGAGAACCAACGAGGAAACACCTCAACTGACAAGACCAATAAAACTGCTCTAAGAAGATATTTATGTAAAGCAGTGATTTTCTGTCCAGCCTTGTGTGCGTGTAATAACATTAAGCTTGATAGGAAACTGAAACCTCAAAGCAAGTCCTCAGCCCACAAAGCTGGACTAGGAAAAGGAAACTATTTCAGATAAAAAACAGAACCAAAGGGGGACACAGGAAACCAATGACTAGAAAACTTTGAGAAAATAGGACTCAATATAATTATTTTAGAGTGGGAGCCTTAGTTAAAACTATTAGTAAATAGAACACAAGACTCTTATGAAGAAATATAGATAACTGAACCTCTATAATTTATTACATACTGGGAACAAAATCTCAAACACTGAAGGAAGTGGCACTTACCCTTATGCTAGTAATTAAAGTGTATGGATTAAATGAGTTAATTTATTAATTACAACCCCACCAGTGAAGACAAAAGAAAGGAGTTAATTTTATTACACTTTGCAACATATTACTGGTGATTTGTGTTTACATTTTAGTTGAAAGAATGAGTAAAACAAGAATGACAGCAAAATCACTCAATGATTCTTTCAAATTTAGTAATCATTGCAAAGTACAACTAGTAATACCAAATTTTTTATTATATATGTGCCCATGTAAACAGTATGCAAATGCTTCAAAACTGCTTGAAAACCGACAAAGTAAAGATAATAAAGCTTTGCCTCACATACTTGGGGAATGTTGCTAGGAGGGGCTATTCCTTGGAGGGGGACACGATACTTAGAAAAGCAGAGGGTTGGTGAAGGAGAGGAAGACCCTTAACCAGGTGGACTGATAAAATGACTTCCGCAATGGGCTCTAGTGTGTCAGAAGTGTGGAGACGGCATGGGAGAGGCCAGGGTTCAGATCTGTTATTCATAGGATGACTCTGGGTTGCACCCGACTCACCAGCACCTACCAGCAACAAATAGTGAGCATACACATACATGTGCGTAGCACACATAGGAAACAAACACAGGAAGAAGTTGCACAGTTTGCAAAAACTATCTAAGATGAACCTTATTTGCATAAAATTACAGTAACTTGATAACCCAAAAGATTTAAGAGTTTGAGTTTTAAACCCGATACTCACTTGGTTACTGTGTACTGAACCCACTTCAGCAGAGCCTTCTTGGCATTCCCCTGGCCCTTGGTGGCCACCTTTCGTTTGCTGGGGGGACTGGCAGTCTCTGCACTGAGCGTGCTGTCCACAGACGACGTGCTGCTGGACAAAGACTGCAGCTGCGGCAGGTTGCTGGTCAACTCTTCAATCTGCACAGTTAACAGCAAAGATGCAAGAATTAGCTTTGTACTTCTTTCCTTAGAGTTTTTTCCTTTTCTAGGCTTAAACTCTTCCCACTGAAAATAATTTACTCAAACTCTACAATTATGTACAAAATTCCAATACTATCCAAATAATTCAAGCCATTAAATCACCAGAGAATCAAGATTTTTTTTAAGTTAGAAGGGTCTTCAGTTCTCACATAATTCAATAATATTCAATTATAAGTTAATAAGTCAAAACTCAGAGAATTTCCTTCTCTGAAAGTACAGCTAAGACAAGAACCAAGAGCATCTGAAGATTGATTGGTGTTGTTGAGACTAACGCCCTGTCTGCCACACTGTGTAGTATTTTTAAAATACTGTACATCTTTGTGCCAATCAAAACCACAATGAGGTACAATCTCACTCCAGTAAGAGTGGCAAAGTTTAATAGGGCAGCAAGTAATAGATGTTGGAGAGGATGTGGTGAGAAAGGAACTCTTATATATTGTTGGTGGGATTATAAAATGGTGCAACTATTCTGGAAGGCAGTTTGGTGTTTAGACATTCCATATGACCCAGCTATTCCACTACTTGGAATATACCTTGAGAATATGAGAACTGAAACACCAACGGAGATTTGTACACCAATGTTCATAGCAGCATTATACACCATCACAAGAACATGGAAACAGCTTAAATGTCCAACCACAAACAAATGAATTGAGAAATTACCGTACATTCATACATTCAAATACTATGCAGCATGCAGGAGCAATAAATTTGTAAATTATTACCTAACTTGGGAGGGACTGGAGAGCATTCTGCTGAGTGAACTAACTCAGTCCCACAAGGATAAATATTGTATAAAACCTTTATTATAAAATGAGTATAAGGATCCAGGAGGGGTGGGAGAGGCTGGAAGCAGAAGGATGTGGAGGTGCAGGGGGAGGGGGATTAATCATTGGGTTGTAAAATTTGATGGGGGGGGGTGAGGGAAATTGAACGAATTTGTTCAAATTTGTATTTGAATTTTGTAAATAAACTAGTAGAAAAATTAAAAAACATACTGTACATCTTTGTAGGTGTTGTCATGGTTACATCTCGTGTCCTTTCCAACTCATAGGGGTCCTATGTGACATATTAAAACTGTCCGATAGAGTGTTCAAGGCTGTAATCTTTACAGGAGCTGATGGGAAACTCTTTCTCCCATGGAGAGGTTTGTGGGCTCACAGCACTCATCCCGGGGTCAGCAGGCAGACCCTTAACCACTGCACCCCTAGTTATTAAGTATTTTTAATATTACTATGTGATGCACAGAGTGCTATCTTGTGTTGCCAAGGAACTTAACAAATAAAAGCAGCAGGGAAACAACATAGTCTTTCTTTGGACAGTGTTGCCTAATGTATGCAGGGATAGAAATTAAATATGAATCATTAATCATAGTTCATTTTTACCATCTTTACTATTCATCCTCTGCTTCACATATCCCATATCCCAGACATACAAACATACAAATTACTTCTATTTTCATAGGTCTAGTTTGAGTCTCTTTCTCTTCACTTATTTGTGTTCAAACATTCCCTTGGCTGGACAATTATTGCTTCCACTTTCTTTCTTACAAAAAACCATAACCATCAGCTCAACTTTTGTGTTACCCATCAGATTTTTCCTAATTGTCATTCTTTTCAGTGATTTATTTATCTATCTACATGTTCTGAAAATCAATTTCACTATGATGGATCTTTCTATTGGTATTTTTTTTTTACATTCATTAACTATATTTAAGAAATGCTCATTATGTAATGGCACTTGTAGAAACATTTCCCCTGGTAAGCCTGGAGAATTGATAGATATTTACTTAAAGAGGATTTACTTAGCAATATGATTTACATTCTTTTAAAAAGCCTGCCTATGATCTGAATTATCTCCTTATGTATCATAACACCCTGTTAAAATGTAAGCAGGTTAACAACAAATGAATGGCTAGAGAAGCTGTGGTATATTCACACAATGGAATACTATGCAGCATTGAGAAAACAAGGAACTCATGAAATATTATACAAAATGGGTGACCCTGGAGGACATTATGCTGAGTAAAATATCTCAGTCACGGAAGGACAAATACTTCATAGTGCCACTGTTATAAAAGAGGACTGACATAGGGGTTGGAGGGAGACCGAGAAGGAGGGAATGAATAATGTACACTGCATTGAAACAGATGAGGGAGAGAACTGTTCAAAAGGGATATACAATTAGATAGTATTGTTAAGACAGGAGTCCAGAACGAAGGCTGCACAGTGCAGTGGACTTGGATTAAATAACAGTGAAAGAGTTTTTCTTTTCATTTTCAAGGAGAAAAGCTAATTTGGGGGAGGGGAGGACAGGGAGAAAAGTGCAACAATGAATGAATGGAAACTCTAAGTCTCTGTAAACTTTTATTAAAACTAATTTAAAATTTTTTTAAAAAGTAGGCAGGTGCTCTTTTTTGCATATGTGCTGAAACCAGGGAATGAACCCAATGTACCCTCTTAAAGAGCAAGTTGGATGTCCTATTGTGTGCTGAAACCAGGGAATGAACCCAATGTACCCTCTTAAAGAGCAAGTTGGATGTCCTATTGTGTGTATTTCACTTACATCTAGAGTTGTACCTTCAACACAGTGACACATACATACACAAATGTGTCACCAAATAAAACCTAATGGTTAGGGTACACCTTTCTCCAAGGAATTACAGCCACATGTCACTTACTGTCCCTGGTTCAGGCATCGTGTGAGTCACCTACAGGCAATCCCTGGAGTCTAAAGGAGTGCCATTCCCAAGTCTGTCTGTAAGTCAAATCTGTACGTAAATTGAAACAAGTGCAATTACTGATGTTAGCTCATCAGACCTTGGTCTAGATGCATAGTGCACCTTTATAAGAATAAAAACATATTAAAGAAACACTTCTAGATACACTGAAATGTTTTTAACATAATCGAGTAATGGTTTGGGTACAACTGCAACGTGACATCAGTTGTTCTTATGAGCAATTGTTTGTACCTCAGCTTTTAAAATAATAAGCTTTCAGGACTTACAACTATGACCATACACACAACTGGACGTTGCCAGAAGAGATGTGGTTTTGCACATGACTGTATTCTGGATAAACTGGCAAGTTGATGCATCTCTTTCATGTTTGATATGAGTATAAAATACCACCACTCTTTCAGGGTAAAAAGAAGATTCTTCTAACTTTATCCTATATCTATATTTCATCTTCATGTGTTCTGCGTGCTTCTCAATTTAGACAACTCTCAGATTTCTTTGATGAAGAAGCTTCTCTGTGCAACAACACTTTTACAAGACATGCAAGGAACAGTCTCCCACTACAAAAACAATGTACATATAAAAGTCACATTTCTGCTAACTTGAGTCTCAACAGCAAGGAGATGGAAAACAAGAGTGTTATACAACGCTACCTCCCTGCACAGCATAACATCAACTAGCAGGTACTCCGGTACCATACCTGGAAATACAGAATAATGGTCCACATCAGTCCAAGAACTATAGAAGGTCGGCCATCAGCTATATCAGTGGAGTTAATGTTGACCAATTTAATCTGTTAAAAAAGAAGAGGAAAACTGTACTAGTAGTGTGTCTGAAGACTGTAGATAATTACGATTTCATTAGGTATCACTAAGATGCGGTCATGCCCAGGTGGTGGCGCCCGAGAGCAAGTAGGGTGAGCATAAAATCCGGCAAGCTCATAGTGTAAGTGAACATGTCAGGGGTACCCGTTAGGAGTGCAACAATAAAAACAACTACAAGGTGCATTTAAAATATTTCTTTTGTTTGATGCTTGAAAACTACAATGTCATGCAGGAGTCACCAACAAAATGCCAAACAGGAAAAAAAAAAATGAGAAAAACAGAAACATTTAAGGATTATTCTTTACATTCAGAGGGTGACTGAAACGTAAAGAAACAACAATGAGCAGTTTAAGATGCACTTACTTTGAAGTTTGTTACCAAATAGCATGAAACTTATGTTCTCTTTTACCTACAAAAATCAGGAGTTAAATGCTCAAAAGTTTGTACTAACCGGCGATCCTCTGTACATGGACTGACATGGAAAACAAAGAAGATGATACACACACATAAATAAACTTTCAAAGGCAGCATTATTTGTCCAAAGGGAATTTGAAAACACTATATTAAATTCAAAGAACGATTCTAGGAGTGTCTTTCAAAGAAGATAAAAGCAAACCAGAAAGAAACTAATGGAGTTCTGTTCTCTACATCCGTTGTTATCTGCTGCCACGTTGCCTCTCATTCAGAACACTCCTACCAACAACAGAAGTAAACCCTGCCTGGCCCTCCACCCCCTTATAATCTCCACTCTGCTTACATCGTTGTTCCAGTCACCAGGCCATTCTCTACTTTGAATTGTTAATTATAAAGCACTCAGGATAGATGTTAATCTGTCTACCCACTTCTCTAATTGTTCATTCCAATGTCTTCTCAATTTTTTTTTAAAAGCAGTTATTTCCTAAACCCAAGCAAAATTGTTCTACTTCAGTTCACGGTTTACACAGTTCTTCTACAGTGCATAGAATACATGCTTGTGGGAAATCAGGAATAATAGAACCTTTTAGCTTTTTATGATAAAATCAGCTACAACCTCTGTAATAATTCCAATTTATCTGTTTAGATCTTCTCTGGAATATTCTCCACACTCTGATTAGTATCCATCAGACACAAATTTATTTGTAATGTATGCTCTTACCACACAATTAATGCCATCCACAGAGGACAGATCATTTTACTTTCTTTGTACATCATTCTTCTTAAAAAAGTAACTGAATATAATTTGAATGTTCTACACCAACTCATCTCTGACTGTACAACATTGTTAATTTATTCAACTTATTATAGAGCCTAAAAGTAAGTGGGTAGTTTGTGGGGTTAGTTGTTTGGTGTTGTTGGGTTTTTTTAATAATCATTTTGTATCCTAAAACATGCATTTTTACCGTGGGTTCACTAAGCCAAGTATTGCTTTTCCTTTGCAAAATTCCATTGAATTACAAGAAAGTCTTAACACTCAAGGAAGCTAGTATGGACAACTGAAATACAGCCAAAGAGACTGAGAATTTTCCAGAATTCAGAAAGAGGATTGGATCCATATGGATGTGTAAAGACATAGCAGAGGGCTATTTCAGTAAACTCGTGTCCTCACAATGTGGTTCCTAGCACAACGGCTGTAGCATCTTCTAAGACCTTGTCAGGGATGCAGAATCAGGTCCTCATCTCAGAGCTCTGAACCAGACACCAAAGACAGAGGACCCAGTAGACAATATCAACCAACCTGGACTAGACAATTATGGTGGGCTCATGTGATCTAGAAGCCCATAAATGCTTCAAAAATATTCCAGTTATTTGGAAATTATTTTTTTAATTCAATAAACAATCTAAACAAGATACCATCTTATTCTAGTAGCAGTGGCAAAGTTTAACAGGATAGCAAGTAATTAATGTTAAGAGGATGTGGAGATATAGGAACTCCTATACATTGTTGGTGGAATGGTAAAATGGTACAAATACTCTGGAAGGCAGTTATGCATTTCCTCAAAAAGCTGAACATAGAAATTCCAAGGAGGTAGCTATTGCACTCCTTGGAATATACTCTGAGAAAATTAGAACTGAGGCACAGAGATCTGTACACCAATATTCGTAGCGGTGTTATTCATCATCACAAGAATGTGGAAACAGCCCAGATGTCCAATCACAATTGAATGGATTAAGAAATTATGGTATATTTACATGATGGAATACTTTATGTAGCATGCAGGAGTAATGATTTTGAAAATCACTACCTAACCTGGGAGGAATGGGAGAGTATTATGCTAAGTGAACTAACTCAATACCATTAAGGACAAATATTGTATAAGATTGAAGAATTAGAAAGAAAACTAGTAAAACATGTATGAGGATCCAAGGGGATCGGTTAGAAGCAGGGGGTGAGGATTGGCAGGGGGATAATCATAGTGTCACACAATTTGATGGGTAGAGGAAGATGTAGGTAAAGGAAATGAGAAAGATTCATTGTGAAAAACAATGTACTAGGAACATTATTGCCAATGTCAGATGGATCTTGGCAGAAAGCAGATCTTGTTGCCAGCAACAAAATACTGAAGAGCAATGATGTCAGATGTGAGTCTGGAGACTAAGGCGTGCCCAATATGGGCCGTGATCTTTGAGCTGTCTCTCCATCCCTCTCCAAGGACTGATCCCACCTTGCAACCTGTCCAAAGTATGTCTCCTAACAGTCCATGGTATATTCAATACTCGCCTCCAGCACCACAGCTCAAAGGTATCAATTCTCCTTCTACCATCCCTAGTCATTGTCCAGCTTTCCAATGCTTAGAAAATAATTACAACGACAATGGCCTATATCGGGGGCACCTTAGTCTCCATACTGACATCATTGCTCTTCAGTACTTTGAAGAGGTCTCTGACAGCAGACTTTCCCAATGCAATTAATCTTTTAATTTATTGGCGCTGGTACCAAGAGTGTTGATTGTGGAGTCAAGCAAACTGAAGCTGTGAACAATCTCAATCTCTTCAACATCTATCATGATGCTGCCAATTGGCCCAGGGGTGAGAATCTTTTCTTTTTTTTTTTTAACAACTCTTCCTTCCTTTTTTTTTTGGTTTGTTTTATTGATGTTGAGCTTCAGTCCATACTGAAGGCTGCAGTCATTGACCTTCTGCGGCAAGTGCTTTAGGTCCTCCTCAGTTTCAGCAAGCAGAGTTGTGTCATCTGCATAAGGCAAGTTGTTGATGAGTCTACCTTCAATCCTGATGCCACATTCCTCCTCATAGAGCCCAGCCTCCTGGATAATCTTTTCTGGATATAGATTAAAAAGATATGGAGATAGGGCACATATTTGGCATACACCCTTCCCAATTTTGAACCATGCAGTGTTTCCTTGCTCTGTTCTGACAACTGCCTCCTAGTCAAGGTACAAGTTTCATATAAGCAAAATCAAGTGTTCTGGGATTCCCATTCTTCTCAGAGTTAGCCACTGTTTGTTGTTATCTACACAGTCAAATGCCTTTGCATGGTCAATGAAACACAGATAGACACTCCTCTGGTACTCTCTGCTTTCAGCCAAGATCCATCTGACCGTAGCTATAATACGCCTATTAAGATATGTATAAATGTATGTTGTTGTTGTTATGTGCCATCGAGTCGTTTGAGACTCATAGCGACTCTATGTATAAGAGCTCTAAATGATGTTCTATCCTGTGCCAACCTAGCCACCTCAAACACACTTATTGCCACTGCTCCAGTCACAGAATCGATCCATCTCATTAAAGTTCTTCCTCTCTTTCTCTGTCCCTCCACTCTGCCAAACATGATGACCCTCTCCAAGGACCAGTCCCTCCTTGCAACATGCCCAAAGTATGTCAGATGAAGCTTCAGAATCCTTGACTCCAAGGAACATTCTGGCTTCACTTTCTCCAGGACAAATCTGTTTGTTATCCTAGCAGTCCATGATATATTTAACACTCTTTTCCAGCACCACAGCTCAGAGGCATCAATTCTCTTTTTATCAACCCTATTCATAGTCCAACTCTCTGATTCATAGCACGTAATTGGGAAGACTTTGGCCCGGATCAGGTGCACCTTAGTCTCCAGCCTGACATTGTTGCTCTTCAGTACTCTTGAGAGGTCCCTCACAGCTGACTTTCCCAATGCAATTCGTCTCTTGATTTCCTGGCTGCTGTTACCAAGAGTGTTGATTGCAGAGCCAAGCAAACTAAAACTGTCTCAATCTCAATCTCTTCACCATCCATACTG